CCGGACATACTGTGCGTGCGGCTTGCAATTTGGCCAACCCTTTTGATATCCAACATTATCCAACCCAGATCCTCAACTCTAAGACTAAAAGAGACCTCAGGCTTCGCAGACTCATCTGGCCCATGCTCTCCCAGCATGGCTGACTGCACTTCCGTCAGCCGCCTCTCGCCCACGTTAGAAAGGAATAAAAGAAAGGGAAAATTCGCAGTGAGATGGCTGAGATGGCAGTGTTATGATGTGTTGTGTTTCACGCCGCGCTGCGCAGTTTCCTTGCTGTGACAGGTGTGCCTGATGATCGCCCTGGTGAGTCCTGCCCTGCTGCTGAGATGCTACCGAAAGGCCTGAACATGTTGCACGTGCCACAAACAAGTTGTTGAGCAGTGCTCTGCAACGCAAGGGCCCAGACACGGCGATCTTCTCTGGCAAGATCTTGGCTGTGGCAGGCACGCAAGCGGCGTTTCACATCCTTTATGCACGACACAAGTAGCTGCCTACCCAGCAACAAATGAAAGTACCACCACTGCAGGACTCAGTTGTGTTCTGTTTTTTTTTGTCATTGTTGTTGCCATTTCCATTGCTATTGTTATTGCTCTTGTTGCCGTTGCCGTTGCCGTTGCCGTTGCCGTTGCCGTTGCCGTTGCCATTGCTGCTGCTGCTGCTGCCGCCGCCGCCGCTGCCCTTCCCTCAACAAGCCTCCGCAGGCGTTCTGGGATTGTCGTCTGCCCTGCTCCTGGGCTGCTCTTGGATTCCCCTCAAAGCTCCCAAGCATCAGTCAAACATCCAAAACGTCTGAGCTCTAAATGCTGCAAGCTGCAAGCACCCCAAATCCCTAAAACCTTGCCCCAGAAACCAAACAATCCCGGAGCCCCATAGACCCTCAACCCTAGAGCTCCCAGAGCTCAAGAGACTTTAAGCCCATTCGACCCTGAATCCCCGTGAATCTGTAGACCCTGAACAGAGGCTCGTGGTCCAATGGGGCAGTGGCGATGCCTTGGAGCACGTGCTTGGGGGGACCCAGGATCAGCTCGCGGAGTGCCTCGGCCTACAGGGGGGTGGAGGTTCAAGATTTGTTTTCCTATGTTGGCACTTTCTTTGTGGGGGCCGGGGGGGAGGAGGGCGAGAGTGCTTTGAGCTTAATTCTAGAGGGGGCTTTCCTAGGAGCTAGACTCCAAAGCCTGCAACTCGAAGTCCTCCTGCCCTGCCCCTGCCCTGCCAGAAAAAACCCAAGATACATAGTTGGGATTTTGGAAGCTTCAAAAGTATGCTTGGGCCTAATGCCACCCCACCTCAACCTTTCTGAACCCTTGGCCCTTACTTAGCCCTTTCTTCAGGGTTTCGAGGGAGGGCAACCAACCACCAAGCGGCGCCGCGGAGCTGACAGTTCGGCCCCACACTCCAACACGCCTTAAGCGCTGCACCAATGGCCTTGAGCCATATTGACCCCGCATGAGCCCCCGTAGAGAGCCTGTTCCTCGAAGGCTCTGGGATTGCTCCGCGCCCGTCCTGGATGCAATTGTCCTGCTGCGGCGACGGCACATAGGTTTGTTGTTTTATTGTAGGCTTTCAGGTTTTGAGGGCTTTTGGGGCCTTGGGAGGCCGTAAGGGTTCGCTGAGCAGGGGATGTTCTTCAGGTCCTGTACTTCTCCATGTGGAGGATGAGACCACCAACCCTAAAACAAGCTCTGAGCTGTAATTACCACAAGCGGCGTCATGGCCCAACCGAGCTTAAAGCCACCCTGAGCCGCTGGCAGAGGTGTGATGGGGTACCTGGGGGGGTTCAGGGACTCCTGCACCGCCGAGGGTTTGCCCCGTGCTGATGGCACTTTTGGCCGCCGTGGCGATCTTCCACGGCATCCTGGCTCAGCCCTACAGCCCCTCAAGCCCCTCAAGCCCTAGCACGCAACATCCCAAATCTGTGAAGCCACAAAAGCCCTTACAAGCGCTAAGCCTAGAGGAAACCCCGCAAGGCCCGGCAAGGTTTTTTCAGGAAGGGAGGGTTAAGGGACGGGCTGGAGGTTTTAAGGCTGCAGCGGCCTCAAACTGCAAGATCCATTCCGAGGATTGTGGCCCGAAGTGTTTTTCAGTGAGTGAGTGGGTGGGTGAGTGAGTGAGTGAGGGTGAGTGAGTGTGGGTGAGTGAGTGTGGGTGAGTGAGTGTGGGTGAGTGAGTGAGTGAGTGAGTGAGTGAGTGTGTGTGTGTGTGTGTGTGTGTGTGCATGTGTTCTATTGACAGGTGCGAGCACTCCCCTCCCTGCATTCCCTACCCTCAACCTGGTCGAACCCCTGGACCGAAACCTTGCAAAAGAAATTGTGAACTGCGCCGCAGGTCGGGAGGTCGTCTGTTCGAAGTGCTCACCTTTGATGAACTTCCTTTCCCGGGTGGGCTGCCGAGGCGGCTCATGGATGGGCATTCCTGGGCCCTCTTCACCCTAATGGCCTGAGAGCCCTGTACCCTCTCTGCAGAAGCGCTACCCCCAATTGAGAAGGCAAAGAGGCGGGGTTCAGCAACAGCATCGACTCCGAGCCGCATGGCTGCACTAGACCGGCTGGCGCTGCTGATAAGTTGTGCTTCTTGTTGTGAAGACGCTTCTTTGGGGCTTCCCCGTGAGGTTTTTGGAGTCGCCCCATGAGCTTTAGAAGTTCCAGAATCTGAAAGCAGTTTGTGCATGATTTCCCTCAGCTTAAGCTGTAAGCCTGGACACGTAGGCATCCTAGGACCCAAGACTTTTGCCGGGTGCCACGTGTTCAACTGAAAAGCGCGGAAAAGCGGAGCGCAAGCAAGGCCATGGCTTAAAACCGCAGCACAGCAGGGCACACGAAGCAGAGCGCTCTGAAGCTGCAGAGGATGTCGGGGACGGAGACCGATCCGGAACAGTGCCTCGGCCGAAAACCCTCGAAAGCCCAAAGCGAAAGCTAAGGCGCAGTGTGTTGTGTTGTGCTGTGCTCCAAGCACGAATCATGGATCTCAGCTCTTGTATTGTTTGGGAGCCAGCCACATAACCTTCGCAAAGCTGGAAGCCCTTCGCCCCGAAGCCTCCAAACCCTCGGTTCAAGCCTAGGACTGGACCTTTGCAGGAGTTCTTGGCGCCTGAATGATCCCAACACCCGAGCTGAGGTCTCGTGAGGAGCCCATGGCTCCGACACGCTCGGTTGACATCTAGGCTTGCTCGTTCCAGGGCTTCGGATGTTGGTTCCGGGTTCGCTGATCAGGTGAACAAGGGGAAAGAGAGGGCTCGAATAGGGCCTGGGAATCTAGGATATTTCCCAATCGGAAACATTTTTCCCAGGGTCTTTTGCAAGCGAGAGCCTGTTTAGCATGGGCTGTGGCGCATGAAAATGTAAAGCTTGGGGCCCTAGGTTTGTTTGCTACCGACCCCAAGCCGCGACCTTCTCAAGCTTTCCCATGTTTTGGACAGTGGTTCTGCACAGCTGCACACGCAATGATCATGCCCTATCAAAGTACCTCCCGATCCGAGACCTTTCAGTCGAGGGTCGGAGCACATCCCGAGAGATCCCTGGCAAGGCTGCGCCGTCCACTGAAATCAATTACTTTTGCTGTCGGGCGTGTGCCCGCGATGGCAGTGACGGCAGTGCTGGCAGCCTTCCAAGCGTGGCTGCCAACATGTGTATAGTACCGTGCATAGCTTTTAGTTTTATGACCACAGATGGAATATGGAGACCCCTCAAAGGCCAGGATGCAGGACGTCCTGAAGCCCACTCTCCACACCGACCCTCACCCTTCGGAGAGGGTTTTGGCTGTTATAAGCTTGAAGGGTTTTTGAACGCCCTCTCTCCAAGTGAGGGGTTCCTGAATTCTGGTTGCTGGTCCGGATTCAAGCCTTACATCTGCGGGTTGCTCATCGCTAAGTTGCTCCTGCTCCTGGCACGAGCGGCCACTTTTATAGCGCTTCTGTAGGTTGTAGGTGCACAGAATTCAAAGGCTGGTGGAGAGCTCGGGTGGCCCTTCTCATTGGGGGTTCAGGAATGTGCCTGCAAGCACCTGGTCTAGACGTGTCAGGATTCCGACTCCCCTGAATTTGTCGCGCATTGAGGCTCGGGTACTGACGTCCCCGAATTTCTGGTTAGGCCATGTTCTCGCCATGTTCTCACGAATTCTGGGAGTTGAGAATTCTAAGAATCCACTCGCATCACCATGGGGTTTCCATGGGGGTTTCATGCTTCAGCTCTTGGAGCAGCGTGGTAAAGCCGGCACAGGGGTACGCCGCCAAGCTATCCTCAGGTGGCAGATCGTTCGGCCTTTGCTTATTTCACTTTTGCATCATGATGTCCGGCCACGGAGCTGGAGTGATTTGATATCTTTCCGATGGCGAGGCAGTTGTTTTGCTTATTTGGTTGGCGCTTGGGCGGTTGGGTATGACTGTTTGGCTTGGAATGGAGTCCTTTGATGTTTTGAGACATCTTCATAACAACAGCTTCAGAAAGTCCCCGTTTTTGTGCCGTTTGTACAGGAAGTCCTCTCGTGGCTTCGTCTCCTGCGAAGGTCACTGGCACCTTTGCACCGGCAGCACAGATTCAGAGGATGGACTGAAAGAAAGCTTGCATCTCCAGAAGCCCTCGATCCTGAATCCGAGACATGCGCAGGACCGCTGCCGACTAGAAGTTCATCCAAGCACAGCTCTTGTGACGCCTTCCCAAGCATACACGAAGTATAATTTACATAGACATGACTTTGAACATAGAATCAGCAATACTAGTAGTGTGAATAAAATTCCAACCATAGTGAACAAAAGACATTGAAAGTCGCCTGAATCGAGTGAGCACCAAATATTGCGGAATCAAAGATGCCGTAAAGGATAGTGTAAACAAATTATGAAATGATTTAACAACAAATATCACCCCAGATCCCAACTTCAGTCGAGCTACGCTGACTGGCCCCCAAACATAAACATGCACCAGTGCACCACAACCCAAACCCTAAGTCGAACCCTCAACTCCTTGAACCCGAAACCCCCCCGCTCCCTGACTTCTCCCCTCACTAAGGAGCTAAGAAACGCCGCCCACCGGGCGCTGCAGCGCCTGTCGGGTGCAGAGGTGGGCATGGTGAGCGGTTTCAGGGGGACCCCTTTGGGATGGATGGCTTTGGGGTATGGCTCAAGTCTATCGAGTCTTGTTATGTGCCGAAGTTTGCGGAGTGCTTGGGATGTGCTTGGGATGTGCTTGGGATGTGCTCTCAGGGTTTTTGGGGATTGAGAGCTCAAGGTTGCTCTGTGCTCGATGAAAGGGTCAGGCTAGAACAGTGCAGACTCTCCCCGAGCCTCACATAGACACGGGAGCTTCTAAGCAGGGCACCCTTTTTGGGGTTTCTTCGTTATGCGAGGATTCCGTGCACGTGTTTCGCCTTCAAAGAGCTTGTAAGCTCTAAGCAAGGCGCTGCCCTCACTCCCCGATCTGCCGAAGGCTGGCTGGGGCCGGGGGTTGTACTGCAGCGTCCTGGAATCGCGATCTAAAGAGAACGCAGATCGGGGCCACTTTACCTGAAACCCTCGCACTGCCATCGCACTGCTCAGTACCCTGGTTCCGAACGCCCGCGGGCCGGTGACAACCCTGGAACCTCGAGGCCACCGAGGTGGCGGTCGAGGCGGTCGAGACGCCCGCGCCGGCCTTGCCAGTTGCAGGCAGACGGGGTTGGGGTTGGAGCTGAGGTGGTTTGATGCCGAGGGCTTGGGGTTTTTCGGGCCTCTTTTCATCTTTTGGGCTGAAAGGTTTCGAACTTGCAGGCTGGGGCCGGGGCTGCAGGAACTGTGGGACATGTTCTGGTGCTTGTTGGTTGCACCCCTTGGAGCGTCAACGTATTGCTCTTTGGGGGCTCCAACCCTTCTGCAAGGCCCCCCTCCAATCTTTTTCTCAGAGTTGTTCTAGGATTTGGTTTGGACCAACCTGTGCAGGACTGCCCGTCGCTCCCAAGGCCGGCCCAGAAGATGGGAGGGGCTGGGGCGAAGTGCTTTTTTGTCATGAGGCATTTTGCCTGAGGCATTTTGGGGCATTGTTTAGTCGCAAGGTGGCCCGGCCCATTTTCCAAGGAGAGGGCTTCGTCCCCCTTTCGAGCTGAATGTTGGCGAAGCCTCAAAAGGCTTGGGAGACTTTTCAGGTCTGCCTGCTCTTCCCTGGCCAGGGCTCGCAGCTCTCCGGCCAGCAACAAGGGTCATGACTTGGGATGTTCCCCCTTCTAACAGTCATTCATAGGGGTTATAATTGGGAGGGTACCAGAATCCCTATCAAGGACTGTCAGTACAAGGGCGAACATCACAAGTCATGACGAAGAGGATCTGTTTGTTGTAGCCAGCAAGTCAATCCGAAACCGCAGCCTGCAAGCTAGATTGATTAGGTATTCCACGCAGTTTCTGTGGTGTTCCGGATTTTTGCGCCACACTTACCGAGGTATGTGAAGATGCTCACTGAAGTGAAGGACCCGAGCTCCTTCCTTTGTTGAGATCTAGGGCCTCTCCCCCCCTCCCAAAAACATCCTCCTAAAGCATCCCAGAGACCTGAGTCCTGCGAGTCTTGAGCACTCAGCCCTACGTCAGCCACTTGTCCAAAACATCTCATATCTGATCTCAGGCCTCAAACATCGAGACCCCTATAGTAGGCCCGACAAGCCTTAGCGATACTGGGCAGGACCTGCCAGGTGTCAGGGCTATGCCGCTGGACTCATCTATTCTGGGCTGGATGACCTTCTGGTTTGAAAGTACGCATGCTTCGGCATGGGGAGAGCATAGTGAATCCACGGAGATGCGGCGGTTCAACAGGAATGCGCTGAGTGGGTTCGCTTTGACTTCCTTTTTGATGCGACTCGTACGTAGTGAGAGCCGCAGTCGGCCGAGGCTGCAGCAGGCGGAAAAGATCCTGGACTTCGATGTGCTGAAGCTGTGCATGGAGGGGCCAGAGGCCGTGCGGCTGATGTTAAGGGCCCTTGGTTCCCTTGGTTCTCTTGGTTCCCGGCGACAAGGTCTTTTGTAGAAGCAGGTGGTGTTGACCATGGCACCAGCCTTTGGCAGGAGCAGCTTGAGGACACCAAGTACTGCCAGCCAGCCATGTGCCCGGGGGAGTCCGACCGCCCCCAAGAACCCGAGCGGCTCAGGGGTTTAAAGCTATCAGCTCCAGGGTCCTCATACCTTCAAGCCCGGCTCCTGCTTTCCCTGCTTCAGTTGAGGGGAGCGTCCGACCCTCCGAAAATGAGGGGCCTTGGGTTTCGGGAATCACAGGTCCAGGCTTTGCGCTGGGTCGGTGCCGGCTCTACTAGCAGCATCCCCAAGAATATTTGGCGGCCCATGTACCAGCAACCTTCCAAGAGAAGGTACATCGCCGGCCTGGCAGGCGGGCCTCCGATCGATGGCTGCGAGACTGCAGGGTGTAGGGCGACAGACCCAAGCCACCCCAGGCGTAAACTTTTCAATTCAGTATCAACGACCCACAAAGCCAAACAAAGCTCAACTGGGTTCGCTTGCTCCTGTGCTTAGTGTCGGTGCTATGCCTGTAACATTACCGGTATCTGGGAAGGACTTGGAATGGTCTTGTGCTTGTGCGTCGATGTGTTCTTCAACCGCGTCATAGTCCTTATAGAGCATCCCTTGTGCAAAAGCTCGAATCGCACCGGGACCCCGTCTCTTTGCTTGCAGCATGCGTGTCGTTGCAGGGGCAGGCGCATGGCATGTGCATGCAACACTGCAGGGCGTACAGTGGCTCGAGACGCGAACATTCGTCTGCAGCCCCCGCTGAGCATCGCAGAGCATCGCAGCCATGTCCGAGGCCGAGGCAGTGATCCGCAACCAGTCCGGCTATATCAACCACACGGCCAAGAAGGATTACGGGCCCTTGGAGTTTACTGGGAAAATTGCTGGAGGCCTGAGGCTGGACTTGCGTAGGCGGCTGCCGCTCTACGCGAGCGACTGGACGGATGCGTTCAAGCCGGAGAACTTCCAAAAGTCTTTGTCGTCCATTCTCTACCTCTTCATCGCAGCTTTGGCGCCCGCCATCACCTTCGGAAGCCGCTTCTTGGACGGCACCAATGGCCAGTTCGGAGTGCTGGAAATGATTATGTCGACAGCCGTCTCTGGCATGATCTTCTCCACCTTCGCAGGGCAGCCCTTGTCCATCCTCGGAGCGACCGGTCCTTTCCTGGCTTACACCCTCGTGGTGTATGACATGGCTGTGGGTGCCGATGTGGAGTTCATGCCCTTCTACTTCTGGGTTTGCATGTGGTGTTCGCTCTTCACCATTTTGGTCGCGGTCTTCGACCTCTGTGCTCTCATGAAGCATGTGACCATGTTCTCGGAAGACATCTTCGCGGGCCTTATTTCTTTGATCTTTATCATCGACGGAGTTAGGCCCGCCCTTAGCTGGTGAGCATCGCGAGTGTTGTGTTGTCTGTGCGCGCATGCATGCGCGCGCGAGCGTGCGAGAGTACAGGCCAGAAAGCAAGTGTGAGCGCGTGAGTGGCTGGGTGGCTGCGTTGCTGGCTGGCTGGATATCTGTGTGTCTGTGTGTGTGTGTGTGTGTCCTGTTGTGCATACGGTGATGGGGCCATGCCCACACGTTTTTTGCTTGCGCTCGTCACCCGTTTTGGATTGCCGAAATCTGCAGCAGAGGCCAGCACAGAGCATTGAATCCTGAACGATCCTGCACGATAGTCATGTGCATGAGATTGGGCTCATGATATACCTGTCGCATGAAGGTGAAGATGCTGTCTTGTCGAACGAATCCAACTGCGTGTTGTTTTTGGTTGTGCACGAAGGTAGGTCAGCAAGTGAAGAACGGCCTAGTTGACACATCGCGGCGTGCCTAATCAACCGCTGACCACTTAAAAAACGGGAAGCATGCACATTGGCCATGCCGGCTGCAGGCCTATTATCGAGAACTTCTCGGAGAACAAGATGAGCCTGACCAGTGCCATGTTCGAGGCCCTACGTCCTCGGGCGTGGCATCATGCATAATTTGTTGAAGTTTGTTTTTGAAATTTGTCAAAATTTGTCGAAATTTGGCGAGGCCCTGCTCTTCATGTACACCTTTGGCTTGGCGACCTACCTGTCCCACTTCCGCCGCACGCCTTGGCTGCTCCGGCCCATCCGCAACCTCATGGCCAACTTCGCAGTGACCATCTCCCTGGTCACGGCCTCGGCCCTGGCAGCGATCTACTCCAGCGACACGAACCTGAGAATGCTGAGCGTCGACGCGGACTTCTCCCCGAACCTCGTCTTGTCGGATGGCAGCAAGCGGCCCTGGGTCGTGAATCCCATGGGCATCGAGCGCGACTTCCCGGCCTGGGCCATTGCTTACGCGATACTGCCAGCAACCTAGACCCAGAGTAGAGTAGGCCTTCATTCTTCTTTAGGGTTAGGTTGTAGGCCTATTATACGCCCTTTCAAACCAAGAAGGGCACCCTTTTAATTCCTAGGTTGCTCTTGGGTCCAGGCAATTGGTTTCGCCGTGCTGGGTTACCTGGACCAGAACCTCACGTCTGTGATCGTGAACAGGCCTTCCAACAACCTGCAGAAGGGGCCAGGCTATCATCTGGATCTGTTTTTTGGCAAGCTCTTGCAAGAATCATGTTAAATTTGTAGCAGGTTCCCGTTATATGGGTCAGAGAGATAATACTTTTACAAGGCAAAAAACAGTTGTTTGAGGTTTGTCAGGGGAGCTTTGACGCTGCCCGTCTGCGCCGTATTGGGCCTGCCACTGTCGGTGGCCTCGACGGTACCTAGCATCACCCACGTGATCTCGCTGACCACCTATGAGGTGAAGCAGCTGCCGGAGGGCGAGCGCAAGGTACCGAGCAAGGTCGTGGAGCAGCGTGCGACGAACTTTCTGATTCACGTGCTTATTGGCTGTGCGCTCTTCCTGGCGCCGGTGCTGAAGTTCCTGCCCCGGGCCGTGTTGCAGGGCGTGTTCTTCTACATGGGCATCGCAAGCTTGACCGGTAACAACCTTTTCGACCGCCTCTTCCTGTGGCTGATCTGGGACCCGGCCAAGTACCCGCAGTACCACTACATCCAGAAGCTGCCCATCCGCCGCGTGCACCTCTACACCATGGTGCAGGCAGAGTGGCTTTGGAAGATTGATTGGGGTTGTGACTATGGTAGCGACCGTCCACAGCCCGCAGCCTTTCGGGGCCTAGTTAGGGCCTAGTTGCTAGAAAGCTGGCCTGGTCTCTGCAGCGATCGCTTCATTTTTTTTGGATTCTCTCTCTATATCTCACTTGTTGAGTTTATGTTTTTTCCTCTCTCTATCTCTCTCTGTCTCTCCCTCCCTGTCTGTCTGCCGCCGCGTTGTGAGGGTCTTAGTCCAGTTTCCCGTTCTCACTCCACTTGTTGGTGACTTCATCTCCCTGTACACATGCTACTGGTTGCAGCGAGCGCTTGCTGCGGCATTCGTGGTGCCAACTTAGTGAGCACATGCTCACGCGGCGTTCATCAGCCTAAAGTTGTTCTTCTTGCCAGGTGGTCTGCCTCGGCATCTTGTACGGTCTCAAAGCCATCAAGGAGACTTCCGTTGTCTTCCCTTTCTTCATGGCTTCCCTGGCCATCATCCGGAAGGCGTGGGGCAAGAATCGTCCAGACATCTTGGCGCAAGGGTGCACTTTTCCTCACATAAGACCCGCTCATCTAAGCCCCCCCCCCCGCGCCATCTGCAGGCCATGCGCTTCCTCTTCACGCAGGAGGAACTGGAGCTGCTGGACAGCCTCCCAGCTGAGGAGGAGGACGGCAAGGCGCTGCCGGGGTTCTCTTTCCTACTAGTAGATGTTTGAATGCGGATAGTCATGGATCGTCAGTGTAAATGTCTGCAAGAGTGGCCCTGCCAGGGGCTGAGCCCGGAGCAGCCGGACTTGGTCAACCTCGAGAAGTCCAAGGCCACTGGCAGACCTGGCAGCTTTTGCGGGGTTGTTGGGGTTTCGGAGTTTAGGCTTTCGGACTTCGATTTGGTGATGTACTTGTGCGGGCTGTTCGTTGCCGGTTTCAGGGCTTCGTCTGCAGATCTTCTTCGCAAGTTGGGGATGCTGGCAAAGCTTTAGTCAAGGGTGATGGTGAGAGATGCCGCTGGTATCGCTTTGCCAACATGTCAGGGTTCAGGAATTCGGGTTTGGCGGTTTCGTGTGCAATGGCAAGCCTGTCAGGAGAACGATGAGGGAGAGCCTGCGAAGGCCCCTATGGGGGTCTGAGCCACCGCAGCCCGCCTTTGCCCTAGCAAAAGTAGGCAGATCTTCTTCCTTCTTCGGATGGAACCGTTAAATGGGGCCTGAAGGGCCTGCGAATATACAGAATTCGTTGAGGTTTTGGCTGATTTTGGCTCCTTGGAGCTGGCTGGCGGGGCCCTTGCTGCAGCAATGGGTTCGTGCCTGACAAACCCTTACATCCAAGCAGCACTGGCCGGAGCGCTGGCGCAGACACTGCCCCGGCTGGTCCTGGCGCTTGGATCGTGGTGCCCTGAGTGGGCACAACGGTGCCGGGAACAGAAAGTTCAGCTTTGGGAGGCCGTCGCCACAGGCGAACATCTCCAAATCTACCCTGTACAGCCCCCGGCGCCAAACCCTCTACCCCTCATGCACACGGTGCGGAAAAGGACGAGCATGACTCCACTCTGAAGGCCTTTGCACATGAGGTAATGTCGTAGGACTCCGTACCCAGTAAAGAGCATCCCTCGTCAATGCCTTCCGACAAAAGCTCGAACCACAAGCGCCTTCTGCGCACCCCTCCGTTTTGCTGGTCGCATGGTCTCCGCAGTTGCAGGTGCGTGACACGTGTATCGCAGGGCACGCAGTGGCTCGAGACACGAACGCCCGCCTCACCGCAGGCCCCCTGAACATCGTCAGCCATGTCCGAGGCCGAGGCAGTGATCCGCAATCAGTCCGGCTATATCAACCACACGGCCAAGAAGGACTACGGGCCCTTGGAGTTTACTGGGAAAATTGCTGGAGGCCTGAGGCTGGACTTGCGTAGGCGGCTGCCGCTCTACGCGAGCGACTGGACGGATGCGTTCAAGCCGGAGAACTTCCAAAAGTCTTTGTCGTCCATTCTCTACCTCTTCATCGCAGCTTTGGCGCCCGCCATTACCTTCGGAAGCCGCTTCTTGGACGGCACCAATGGCCAGTTCGGAGTGCTGGAAATGATTATGTCGACAGCCGTCTCTGGCATGATCTTCTCCACCTTCGCAGGGCAGCCCTTGTCCATCCTCGGAGCGACCGGTCCTTTCCTGGCTTACACCCTCGTGGTGTATGACATGGCTGTGGGTGCCGATGTGGAGTTCATGCCCTTCTACTTCTGGGTTTGCATGTGGTGTTCGCTCTTCACCATTTTGGTCGCGGTCTTCGACCTCTGTGCTCTCATGAAGCATGTGACCATGTTCTCGGAAGACATCTTCGCGGGCCTTATTTCTTTGATCTTTATCATCGACGGAGTTAGGCCCGCCCTTAGCTGGTGAGCATTGCGAGTGTTGTGTTGTCTGTGCGCGCATGCATGCGCGCGCGAGCGTGCGAGAGTACAGGCCAGAAAGCAAGTGTGAGCGCGTGAGTGGCTAGGCATGCCCGCACTTTTTTGCTTGCGCTCGTCACCCGTTTTGGATTGCCGAAATCTGCAGCAGAGGCCAGCACAGAGCATTGAATCCTGAACGATCCTGCACGATAGTCATGTGCATGAGATTGGGCTCATGATATACCTGTCGCATGAAGGTGAAGATGCTGTCTTGTCGAACGAATCCAACTGCGTGTTGTTTTTGGTTGTGCACGAAGGTAGGTCAGCAAGTGAAGAACGGCCTAGTTGACACATCGCGGCGTGCCTAATCAACCGCTGACCACTTAAAAAACGGGAAGCATGCACATTGGCCATGCCGGCTGCAGGCCTATTATCGAGAACTTCTCGGAGAACAAGATGAGCCTGACCAGTGCCATGTTCGAGGCCCTACGTCCTCGGGCGTGGCATCATGCATAATTTGTTGAAGTTTGTTTTTGAAATTTGTCAAAATTTGTCGAAATTTGGCGAGGCCCTGCTCTTCATGTACACCTTTGGCTTGGCGACCTACCTGTCCCACTTCCGCCGCACGCCTTGGCTGCTCCGGCCCATCCGCAACCTCATGGCCAACTTCGCAGTGACCATCTCCCTGGTCACGGCCTCGGCCCTGGCAGCGATCTACTCCAGCGACACGAACCTGAGAATGCTGAGCGTCGACGCGGACTTCTCCCCGAACCTCGTCTTGTCGGATGGCAGCAAGCGGCCCTGGGTCGTGAATCCCATGGGCATCGAGCGCGACTTCCCGGCCTGGGCCATTGCTTACGCGATACTGCCAGCAACCTAGACCCAGAGTAGAGTAGGCCTTCATTCTTCTTTAGGGTTAGGTTGTAGGCCTATTATACGCCCTTTCAAACCAAGAAGGGCACCCTTTTAATTCCTAGGTTGCTCTTGGGTCCAGGCAATTGGTTTCGCCGTGCTGGGTTACCTGGACCAGAACCTCACGTCTGTGATCGTGAACAGGCCTTCCAACAACCTGCAGAAGGGGCCAGGCTATCATCTGGATCTGTTTTTTGGCAAGCTCTTGCAAGAATCATGTTAAATTTGTAGCAGGTTCCCGTTATATGGGTCAGAGAGATAATACTTTTACAAGGCAAAAAACAGTTGTTTAAGGTTTGTCAGGGGAGCTTTGACGCTGCCCGTCTGCGCCGTATTGGGCCTGCCTCTGTCGGTGGCCTCGACGGTACCTAGCATCACCCACGTGATCTCGCTGACCACCTATGAGGTGAAGCAGCTGCCGGAGGGCGAGCGCAAGGTACCGAGCAAGGTCGTGGAGCAGCGTGCGACGAACTTTCTGATTCACGTGCTTATTGGCTGTGCGCTCTTCCTGGCGCCGGTGCTGAAGTTCCTGCCCCGGGCCGTGTTGCAGGGCGTGTTCTTCTACATGGGCATCGCAAGCTTGACCGGCAACAACCTTTTCGACCGCCTCTTCCTGTGGCTGATCTGGGACCCGGCCAAGTACCCGCAGTACCACTACATCCAGAAGCTGCCCATCCGCCGCGTGCACCTCTACACCATGGTGCAGGCAGAGTGGCTTTGGAAGATTGATTGGGGTTGTGACTATTGTAGCAAACGTCCACAGCCCGCAGCCTTTCGGGGCCTAGTTAGGGCCTAGTTGCTAGAAAGCTGGCCTGGTCTCTGCAGCGATCGCTTCATTTTTTTTTGGATTTTCTCCCTATATCTCACTTGTTGAGTTTATGTTTTTTCCTCTCTCTATCTCTCTCTGTCTCTCCCTCTTTGTCTGTCTGCCGCCGCATTGTGAGGGTCTTAGTCCAGTTTCACTTTCCCGTTCTCACTCCACGCGTTGGTGACTTCATCTCCCTGTACGCATGCTACTGGTAGCAGCGAGCGCTTGCTGCGGCATTCGTGGTGCCAACTTAGTGAGCACATGCTCACGCGGCATTCATCAGCCTAAAGTTGTTCTTCTTGCCAGGTGGTCTGCCTCGGCATCTTGTACGGTCTCAAAGCCATCAAGGAGACTTCCGTTGTCTTCCCTTTCTTCATGGCTTCCCTGGCCATCATCCGGAAGGCGTGGGGCAAGAATCGTCCAGACATCTTGGCGCAAGGGTGCACTTTTCCTCACATAAGACCCGCTCATCTAAGCCCCCCCCCCCGCGCCATCTGCAGGCCATGCGCTTCCTCTTCACGCAGGAGGAACTGGAGCTGCTGGACAGCCTCCCAGCTGAGGAGGAGGACGGCAAGGCGCTGCCGGGGTTCTCTTTCCTACTAGTAGATGTTTGAGGCGGATAGTCATGGATCGTCAGTGTAAATGTCTGCAAGAGTGGCCCTGCCAGGGGCTGAGCCCGGAGCAGCCGGACTTGGTCAACCTCGAGAAGTCCAAGGCCACTGGCAGACCTGGCAGCTTTTGCGGGGTTGTTGGGGTTTCGGAGTTTAGGCTTTCGGACTTCGATTTGGTGATGTACTTGTGCGGGCTGTTCGTTGCCGGTTTCAGGGCTTCGTCTGCAGATCTTCTTCGCAAGTTGGGGATGCTGGCAAAGCTTTAGTCAAGGGTGATGGTGAGAGATGCCGCTGGTATCGCTTTGCCAACATGTCAGGGTTCAGGAATTCGGGTTTGGCGGTTTCGTGTGCAATGGCAAGCCTGTCAGGAGAACGATGAGGGAGAGCCTGCGAAGGCCCCTATGGGGGTCTGAGCCGCCGCAGCCCGCCTTTGCCCTAGCAAAAGTAGGCAGATCTTCTTCCTTCTTCGGATGGAACCGTTAAATGGGGCCTGAAGGGCCTGCGAATATACAGAATTCGTTGAGTTTTTGGCTGATTTTGGCTCCTTGGAGCTGGCTGGCGGGGCCCTTGCTGCAGCAATGGGTTCGTGCCTGACAAACCCTTACATCCAAGCAGCACTGGCCGGAGCGCTGGCGCAGACACTGCCCCGGCTGGTCCTGGCGCTTGGATCGTGGTGCCCTGAGTGGGCACAACGGTGCCGGGAACAGAAAGTTCAGCTTTGGGAGGCCGTCGCCACAGGCGAACATCTCCAAATCTACCCTGTACAGCCCCCGGCGCCAAACCCTCTACCCCTCATGCACACGGTGCGGAAAAGGACGAGCATGACTCCACTCTGAAGGCCTTTGCACATGAGGTAATGTCGTAGGACTCCGTACCCAGTAAAGAGCATCCCTCGTCAATGCCTTCCGACAAAAGCTCGAACCACAAGCGCCTTCTGCGCACCCCTCCGTTTTGCTGGTCGCATGGTCTCCGCAGTTGCAGGTGCGTGACACGTGTATCGCAGGGCACGCAGTGGCTCGAGACACGAACGCCCGCCTCACCGCAGGCCCCCTGAACATCGTCAGCCATGTCCGAGGCCGAGGCAGTGATCCGCAATCAGTCCGGCTATATCAACCACACGGCCAAGAAGGACTACGGGCCCTTGGAGTTTACTGGGAAAATTGCTGGAGGCCTGAGGCTGGACTTGCGTAGGCGGCTGCCGCTCTACGCGAGCGACTGGACGGATGCGTTCAAGCCGGAGAACTTCCAAAAGTCTTTGTCGTCCATTCTCTACCTCTTCATCGCAGCTTTGGCGCCCGCCATTACCTTCGGAAGCCGCTTCTTGGACGGCACCAATGGCCAGTTCGGAGTGCTGGAAATGATTATGTCGACAGCCGTCTCTGGCATGATCTTCTCCACCTTCGCAGGGCAGCCCTTGTCCATCCTCGGAGCGACCGGTCCTTTCCTGGCTTACACCCTCGTGGTGTATGACATGGCTGTGGGTGCCGATGTGGAGTTCATGCCCTTCTACTTCTGGGTTTGCATGTGGTGTTCGCTCTTCACCATTTTGGTCGCGGTCTTCGACCTCTGTGCTCTCATGAAGCATGTGACCATGTTCTCGGAAGACATCTTCGCGGGCCTTATTTCTTTGATCTTTATCATCGACGGAGTTAGGCCCGCCCTTAGCTGGTGAGCATTGCGAGTGTTGTGTTGTCTGTGCGCGCATGCATGCGCGCGCGAGCGTGCGAGAGTACAGGCCAGAAAGCAAGTGTGAGCGCGTGAGTGGCTAGGCATGCCCGCACTTTTTTGCTTGCGCTCGTCACCCGTTTTGGATTGCCGAAATCTGCAGCAGAGGCCAGCACAGAGCATTGAATCCTGAACGATCCTGCACGATAGTCATGTGCATGAGATTGGGCTCATGATATACCTGTCGCATGAAGGTGAAGATGCTGTCTTGTCGAACGAATCCAACTGCGTGTTGTTTTTGGTTGTGCACGAAGGTAGGTCAGCAAGTGAAGAACGGCCTAGTTGACACATCGCGGCGTGCCTAATCAACCGCTGACCACTTAAAAAACGGGAAGCATGCACATTGGCCATGCCGGCTGCAGGCCTATTATCGAGAACTTCTCGGAGAACAAGATGAGCCTGACCAGTGCCATGTTCGAGGCCCTACGTCCTCGGGCGTGGCATCATGCATAATTTGTTGAAGTTTGTTTTTGAAATTTGTCAAAATTTGTCGAAATTTGGCGAGGCCCTGCTCTTCATGTACACCTTTGGCTTGGCGACCTACCTGTCCCACTTCCGCCGCACGCCTTGGCTGCTCCGGCCCATCCGCAACCTCATGGCCAACTTCGCAGTGACCATCTCCCTGGTCACGGCCTCGGCCCTGGCAGCGATCTACTCCAGCGACACGAACCTGAGAATGCTGAGCGTCGACGCGGACTTCTCCCCGAACCTCGTCTTGTCGGATGGCAGCAAGCGGCCCTGGGTCGTGAATCCCATGGGCATCGAGCGCGACTTCCCGGCCTGGGCCATTGCTTACGCGATACTGCCAGCAACCTGGACCTAGACCCAGAGTAGAGTAGGCCTTCATTCTTCTTTAGGGTTAGGTTGTAGGCCTATTATACACCCTTTCAAACCAAGAAGGGCACCCTTTTAATTCCTAGGTTGCTCTTGGGTCCAGGCAATTGGTTTCGCCGTGCTGGGTTACCTGGACCAGAACCTCACGTCTGTGATCGTGAACAGGCCTTCCAACAACCTGCAGAAGGGGCCAGGCTATCATCTGGATCTGTTTTTTGGCAAGCTCTTGCAAGAATCATGTTAAATTTGTAGCAGGTTCCCGTTATATGGGTCAGAGAGATAATACTTTTACAAGGCAAAAAACAGTTGTTTGAGGTTTGTCAGGGGAGCTTTGACGCTGCCCGTCTGCGCCGTATTGGGCCTGCCACTGTCGGTGGCCTCGACGGTACCTAGCATCACCCACGTGATCTCGCTGACCACCTATGAGGTGAAGCAGCTGCCGGAGGGCGAGCGCAAGGTACCGAGCAAGGTCGTGGAGCAGCGTGCGACGAACTTTCTGATTCACGTGCTTATTGGCTGTGCGCTCTTCCTGGCGCCGGTGCTGAAGTTCCTGCCCCGGGCCGTGTTGCAGGGCGTGTTCTTCTACATGGGCATCGCAAGCTTGACCGGCAACAACCTTTTCGACCGCCTCTTCTTGTGGCTGATCTGGGACCCGGCCAAGTACCCGCAGTACCACTACATCCAGAAGCTGCCCATCCGCCGCGTGCACCTCTACACCATGGTGCAGGCAGAGTGGCTTTGGAAGATTGATTGGGGTTGTGACTATTGTAGCAAACGTCCACAGCCCGCAGCCTTTCGGGGCCTAGTTAGGGCCTAGTTGCTAGAAAGCTGGCCTGGTCTCTGCAGCGATCGCTTCATTTTTTTTTGGATTTTCTCCCTATATCTCACTTGTTGAGTTTATGTTTTTTCCTCTCTCTATCTCTCTCTGTCTCTCCCTCTTTGTCTGTCTGCCGCCGCATTGTGAGGGTCTTAGTCCAGTTTCACTTTCCCGTTCTCACTCCACGCGTTGGTGACTTCATCTCCCTGTACGCATGCTACTGGTAGCAGCGAGCGCTTGCTGCGGCATTCGTGGTGCCAACTTAGTGAGCACATGCTCACGCGGCATTCATCAGCCTAAAGTTGTTCTTCTTGCCAGGTGGTCTGCCTCGGCATCTTGTACGGTCTCAAAGCCATCAAGGAGACTTCCGTTGTCTTCCCTTTCTTCATGGCTTCCCTGGCCATCATCCGGAAGGCGTGGGGCAAGAATCGTCCAGACATCTTGGCGCAAGGGTGCACTTTTCCTCACATAAGACCCGCTCATCTAAGCCCCCCCCCCCGCGCCATCTGCAGGCCATGCGCTTCCTCTTCACGCAGGAGGAACTGGAGCTGCTGGACAGCCTCCCAGCTGAGGAGGAGGACGGCAAGGCGCTGCCGGGGTTCTCTTTCCTACTAGTAGATGTTTGAGGCGGATAGTCATGGATCGTCAGTGTAAATGTCTGCAAGAGTGGCCCTGCCAGGGGCTGAGCCCGGAGCAGCCGGACTTGGTCAACCTCGAGAAGTCCAAGGCCACTGGCAGACCTGGCAGCTTTTGCGGGGTTGTTGGGGTTTCGGAGTTTAGGCTTTCGGACTTCGATTTGGTGATGTACTTGTGCGGGCTGTTCGTTGCCGGTTTCAGGGCTTCGTCTGCAGATCTTCTTCGCAAGTTGGGGATGCTGGCAAAGCTTTAGTCAAGGGTGATGGTGAGAGATGCCGCTGGTATCGCTTTGCCAACATGTCAGGGTTCAGGAATTCGGGTTTGGCGGTTTCGTGTGCAATGGCAAGCCTGTCAGGAGAACGATGAGGGAGAGCCTGCGAAGGCCCCTATGGGGGTCTGAGCCACCGCAGCCCGCCTTTGCCCTAGCAAAAGTAGGCAGATCTTCTTCCTTCTTCGGATGGAACCGTTAAATGGGGCCTGAAGGGCCTGCGAATATACAGAATTCGTTGAGGTTTTGGCTGATTTTGGCTCCTTGGAGCTGGCTGGCGGGGCCCTTGCTGCAGCAATGGGTTCGTGCCTGACAAACCCTTACATCCAAGCAGCACTGGCCGGAGCGCTGGCGCAGACACTGCCCCGGCTGGTCCTGGCGCTTGGATCGTGGTGCCCTGAGTGGGCACAACGGTGCCGGGAACAGAAAGTTCAGCTTTGGGAGGCCGTCGCCACAGGCGAACATCTCCAAATCTACCCTGTACAGCCCCCGGCGCCAAACCCTCTACCCCTCATGCACACGGTGCGGAAAAGGACGAGCATGACTCCACTCTGAAGGCCTTTGCACATGAGGTAATGTCGTAGGACTCCGTACCCAGTAAAGAGCATCCCTCGTCAACGCCTTCCGACAAAAGCTCGAACCACAAGCGCCTTCTGCGCACCCCTCCGTTTTGCTGGTCGCATGGTCTCCGCAGTTGCAGGTGCGTGACACGTGTATCGCAGGGCACGCAGTGGCTCGAGACACGAACGCCCGCCTCACCGCAGGCCCCCTGAACATCGTCAGCCATGTCCGAGGCCGAGGCAGTGATCCGCAATCAGTCCGGCTATATCAACCACACGGCCAAGAAGGACTACGGGCCCTTGGAGTTTACTGGGAAAATTGCTGGAGGCCTGAGGCTGGACTTGCGTAGGCGGCTGCCGCTCTACGCGAGCGACTGGACGGATGCGTTCAAGCCGGAGAACTTCCAAAAGTCTTTGTCGTCCATTCTCTACCTCTTCATCGCAGCTTTGGCGCCCGCCATTACCTTCGGAAGCCGCTTCTTGGACGGCACCAATGGCCAGTTCGGAGTGCTGGAAATGATTATGTCGACAGCCGTCTCTGGCATGATCTTCTCCACCTTCGCAGGGCAGCCCTTGTCCATCCTCGGAGCGACCGGTCCTTTCCTGGCTTACACCCTCGTGGTGTATGACATGGCTGTGGGTGCCGATGTGGAGTTCATGCCCTTCTACTTCTGGGTTTGCATGTGGTGTTCGCTCTTCACCATTTTGGTCGCGGTCTTCGACCTCTGTGCTCTCATGAAGCATGTGACCATGTTCTCGGAAGACATCTTCGCGGGCCTTATTTCTTTGATCTTTATCATCGACGGAGTTAGGCCCGCCCTTAGCTGGTGAGCATTGCGAGTGTTGTGTTGTCTGTGCGCGCATGCATGCGCGCGCGAGCGTGCGAGAGTACAGGCCAGAAAGCAAGTGTGAGCGCGTAAGTGGCTGGGTGGCTGCGTTGCTGGCTGGCTGGATGTCTGTGTGTCTGTGTGTGTGTGTGTCCTGTTGTGCATACGGTGATGGGGCCATGCCCACACGTTTTTTGCTTGCGCTCGTCACCCGTTTTGGATTGCCGAAATCTGCAGCAGAGGCCAGCACAGAGCATTGAATCCTGAACGATCCTGCACGATAGTCATGTGCATGAGATTGGGCTCATGATATACCTGTCGCATGAAGGTGAAGATGCTGTCTTGTCGAACGAATCCAACTGCGTGTTGTTTTTGGTTGTGCACGAAGGTAGGTCAGCAAGTGAAGAACGGCCTAGTTGACACATCGCGGCGTGCCTAATCAACCGCTGACCACTTAAAAAACGGGAAGCATGCACATTGGCCATGCCGGCTGCAGGCCTATTATCGAGAACTTCTCGGAGAACAAGATGAGCCTGACCAGTGCCATGTTCGAGGCCCTACGTCCTCGGGCGTGGCATCATGCATAATTTGTTGAAGTTTGTTTTTGAAATTTGTCAAAATTTGTCGAAATTTGGCGAGGCCCTGCTCTTCATGTACACCTTTGGCTTGGCGACCTACCTGTCCCACTTCCGCCGCACGCCTTGGCTGCTCCGGCCCATCCGCAACCTCATGGCCAACTTCGCAGTGACCATCTCCCTGGTCACGGCCTCGGCCCTGGCAGCGATCTACTCCAGCGACACGAACCTGAGAATGCTGAGCGTCGACGCGGACTTCTCCCCGAACCTCGTCTTGTCGGATGGCAGCAAGCGGCCCTGGGTCGTGAATCCCATGGGCATCGAGCGCGACTTCCCGGCCTGGGCCATTGCTTACGCGATACTGCCAGCAACCTAGACCCAGAGTAGAGTAGGCCTTCATTCTTCTTTAGGGTTAGGTTGTAGGCCTATTATACGCCCTTTCAAACCAAGAAGGGCACCCTTTTAATTCCTAGGTTGCTCTTGGGTCCAGGCAATTGGTTTCGCCGTGCTGGGTTACCTGGACCAGAACCTCACGTCTGTGATCGTGAACAGGCCTACCAACAACCTGCAGAAGGGGCCAGGCTATCATCTGGATCTGTTTTTTGGCAAGCTCTTGCAAGAATCATGTTAAATTTGTAGCAGGTTCCCGTTATATGGGTCAGAGAGATAATACTTTTACAAGGCAAAAAACAGTTGTTTGAGGTTTGTCAGGGGAGCTTTGACGCTGCCCGTCTGCGCCGTATTGGGCCTGCCACTGTCGGTGGCCTCGACGGTACCTAGCATCACCCACGTGATCTCGCTGACCACCTATGAGGTGAAGCAGCTGCCGGAGGGCGAGCGCAAGGTACCGAGCAAGGTCGTGGAGCAGCGTGCGACGAACTTTCTGATTCACGTGCTTATTGGCTGTGCGCTCTTCCTGGCGCCGGTGCTGAAGTTCCTGCCCCGGGCCGTGTTGCAGGGCGTGTTCTTCTACATGGGCATCGCAAGCTTGACCGGCAACAACCTTTTCGACCGCCTCTTCTTGTGGCTGATCTGGGACCCGGCCAAGTACCCGCAGTACCACTACATCCAGAAGCTGCCCATCCGCCGCGTGCACCTCTACACCATGGTGCAGGCAGAGTGGCTTTGGAAGATGAGGGTTGTAGTGAACGTCTAGAGCCCACAGGCCTATGTGGTTGCCAGAACGGGGTGGGCGCCGTCTTAAGATTGTCTCTCGCCAGGTGGTTTGCCTGGGAATCTTGTATGGCCTCAAAGCCATCAAGGAGACTTCCGTTGTCTTCCCTTTCTTCATGGCTTCCCTGGCCATCATCCGGAAGGTGTGGGGCAAGACTTGTTGACGCAAGGGTCCCATCAATCATTGAAGCTTAGAGCTCCAAACAAACTGCAGGCCATGCGCTTCCTCTTCACGCAGGAAGAACTGCAGCTGCTGGACAGCCTCCCAGCTGAGGAGGAGGACGGCGAGGTGCTGCGGGCCAGCAGTACCAAGTAGCGACGACTCCGAACTAGCTTACATGTTGGACAACGAGGGTTGCCGCACATGTTGGCCACTACTGTCGTTCTTTCCATTGTAACCAGACAACCACCGGCTTTGGGTTCGTTCAATCCGCAAAGCTGCCTCAGGGACTGAGCGCAGAGCAGCCTGACTTGGTCAACCTCGAGAAGCCCAAGGCCGCTAGATGCCTCTTTTGGGTTAGGGCTTACAGGGCTTAAGGGGCTTAATGGCTTCACTGTCCTGGACCGGGTGTTGCTGGCTTCAGAATGTTTCAGAGCTTTACTGTACGAACTTTGGGGTTTGGGCTGCCTTGTCAGGTAAGCTTTCGTAACCCAAGCCCGCGAAGGTTTGCTGGGATCCGCGACCACGAGCTGGGCTAAGAGATCCCTAGTTGTCCTTCTCTTGGGCATGATCAGGGTTGGTTCAGGGTTGCTGTGCGTGCTCAGAAGGCTGGTCTATGTTACACCCTATCTTGGCTTTCAGGGGCGGAGGGATGTACAGAAATTCCTCTCCGCAAGTTGGGGATGCTACAATATTTTTGCGCGTGCCATCAGTTCAGGCGGAGAACGACGAGGGAGAGCCCGCGAACTCCAAGATGACGGGGGTTTAAACTGTTTGCCAATTTGCAGCCCGCAACAGATTTCCTTCCTTCTTCGGATGGAGTTGTTTGGCGGGGCCTGAAGGCCCTTCGAATACCCAGAATTCGTTGAGTTTTGGCTCCTCGGAGCTCGCTGGCAAGGCCCATGCGGCCTTGCCAGACAAACCTTTACATCCAAGCAGCACTGGCCGGAGCGCTGGCGCAGACACTGCGCCGGCTGGTCCTGGCGCTTGGATCGTGGTGCCCTGAGTGGGCACAGCGGTGCCGGGAACAGTTTTGCAGTTTTGCGAGGCTGTCGCCCAAGGCGAACATCTCCAAATCTACTCTGTACAGACACCGGCGCCAAACTCTCTACCTCTCATGCACATGGTGCAAAGAAAAAACGAGGTTTCTCATGCAGCTTTCGCCGAGCATGACTCCAGGACGAGGGCCTTACAGAACGTCGTACCCTATGCGCCATTTGTTGTCAGTCTGTCTTCGTGCCGCCCGCAGATCTGGTCGTGCTTGGCACTCGTGGTATCCTGGGAACTCCTGCCCTGCGCCCCAAAGCCATGAAGCAACTCCCAAACCCCCAAATTCCCAAAACCCTTCATGCTTAACCTCCACAACGCTAAACATCCAAATTCCGTGGACTGAAGTACGACCCGAAGCCCGAAGCACTTTGTTGCGCAATCTGCAACATTTCCACACTCCTTCCATCGAAGGCTTGAGAGCACCAAGATAGCTTTGACATGAAATTCCGTCCCCCCCACCCCCCTATGATGAGTAGGCTGCTCATGCCCCTTTAGTTTGCTTTTCAGCCTAGGCCTTGTTAGACTGGGCTGTTGGGACCTAGTTTGCACCAGCCGAAACACATTTTGAGTGTACGATTCTGCAATAACTAGGCGTGGCGTGTTAGCGCAATGGCTCTGTCGCTGAGCGTGACGCTGCTCAGTGGTTCGAGCGTGCACCTGTCTCTGAGCCCGACGTCAACGGTCGAATCACGGCGTGACTTAGTTAGAAGGCTCGGGCTGTTGGCAGTAATTACCTGCACAGCATTTTGGGATGTTTCCTGCACGGGTTTCTTTGCAGGCCTTCCGCTCATTCTACGCCCAGCTGAGAGGCTTAGGATTTGGGGGCGGATCCAAATGTCAGAAGGTGTTTGCTTCAGAGGTTTTGAGCAGAGCCGCATGGCCGGGTGTAGCCGAAGCCGCAAGTCTCTTAAGTCTCTTGAAGCTCCACTTCAGGATGAGCTTCGACAGGAGGCCCAGCGAGACACCTGGATGCACGATGTTTTCGGGGTTCTCCAGGGCAACAGATACTGCACCTATTGTTTCGGCCAAGCCTTTACATTCGTGCGGCTCTAGCGGCCAACATCGCAGCCTGCAGTCATACAGCCTCCAACAAAAGCACACGTGCACCGCACCCCATTCTCGATGAGCTCAGGGATTGGGCTGCCACCTGAGCCACTTGATCGACGGCTCTGGAAACTGCTTGCCTGGAGCGAGTCCCAAGCCCTGAAACATCCTGAAACCACGAGGGTTCGCCTGCTGTCTGTTCATGTCTTAACAGTTGTCTTCCCTTTTTTCTCTTCGGGCTTTTTCCCAAAAGCATGGCGGAGGGTCTTGCAGCGGATGTGGCTGTCGTTAAAGAGTCGTCGTTATATGGATGACGTGATGGATGGCTTGATGGATGATGCCCGGATGGATGGTGTGATGGATTATTTGGTGGGTTTTCCTCTTAAAATTCATATGTTTTCAAGCACGGGGAAGGGTTGGCGGGAGCCGCCGCACTTAAAAAAGTGCAAAAGCGATGACCCTCTGCGTGTTTTGGCGTTGTCGAGACGCAAGAACGATGACCCTCTGCGTGTGCGCGGGGTGTCGTGATCGCATGAACGACAACTCTCTGCGTGTTTTTTTGCGTTGTCGAGACGCAAAAACGACGACCTTCTGCGTGGTCGCGGGGTGTCGTGATCGCGTGAACGCCAACCCTCTGCGGAACGACGACCCGTGTCGTGAAGGTTCTTCGTTATCCTTGATGCATGGATGGATGTCGTGATTGACGTCGTGATGGATGGTCTTCGTTCGTTGATTCATGGATGGATGTCGTGATGGATGGTGGGCGGTCTTTGTGAAGGTTCTTCGTTATCGTTGATGCATGGATGGCTGTCGTGATGGATGTCGTGATGGATGCCGGGTGGCTTTTGTGAAGGTTCTTCGTTATCGATGTCGTGATGGATGTCGTGATGGATGGCGGGTGGTCTTCTTGAAGGTTCTTCGTTATCGTTGACGCAAGGATGGATGTCGTGATGGATGACGGGTGGTCTTTGTGAGGGGTCTTCGTTAGATGTCGCGATGGATGTCGTAATGGATGATGCAAGGATGGATGGCGTGATGCGAGGTTTTAATCGTGGCTTGAAAATGCTTTCGGGACAGCCGTTCTCTAGTTTTAGTTTCGGCCCTTTAGCCCTAAATCACCTCCAACCTGTAGCCCGAAACCCAGAGGAGAGGCCTCCCCGCCCCCCCACACCAGGGAGGTGTCCTTAAACTCTAAACACTGAACTCTAAAACCCTGGTCGCGCTCGTGCTTCAGAGGACGCGTGGGCAATTAGCCAGGAATCCTCCCCCGAAATTGATGAGGACAACGTTGACGGCTGAATATGCAACCCTGTATTCTTTGGAAACTGTGGGTGCTGGCGGGGGCCACGGAACCTTGATCAGTTTCCTTTGCCCCTGATCGTTTTCCTCTTTCATGGGTTCCATTGCTGTGGCCACGTTATGATTTTCTCAGTTTTCTTCTTCCCCTCCCCAATGCCGCGCAAATGAACCTGAGCCAGAGCAGAGCTGTGCGTTTAAGGAGCAGGTGCTGTCAACACACTGCTCGGGATAAACCAAGGCGAAGCCAAAGCCAGCAAGCATGTGGCATCGGTATGAGCAAACAGCACCAGCAGGGGATGGCTGTGATGGAAACTGTACATTTCTTGCAGGTGCTCAGCTTCTGCAAGTCCCCTGTTTGGGAAGTGTGGGCTGGCCAGGTTGTGCTTTCTCGGGATGACTGCACTTCCGGTTTCCATGGGGCCTGAAATTTTCAGGTTGTTCTGTTCATTGTTAATTCCTGAAGCTTGTTTTCTTTTTTTCAGTTGCGTTATCCCGTAACCTTTCTTGACTCGCCTCTCTGGTTGGGGCCGGGACTCCTCCTGACCTCCTATCTTGGTTTTGGGAATGTCGGACATTGTGCAAGTACCCACACGTTGTCGCCCCCCGAGGAGGACTTCAGATTGAACTGGCCGGTCTTGTGGATGGGGACACAGTCGGCGCTATTGTCCGCCACGCAGAGCTATCCTCCACTCACACAGCTTTTGCGCTGTTGAGGTGCGATGGCTCTGTCGTGACATGGGGCAGTGCATACCAGGGTGGTGATAGTGTGGCCTTCCAGTCGAAGCTCAAGGACGTCACGAACATTTATTCTTCTGATTATGCCTTCGCTGCAGTGCGCGGTGACGGATCGGTCGTGACCTGGGGTAATCCGGGCGCAGGTGGTGACAGCTCCTCCGTCCAGGGCGTGCTTAAGAATGTCCGACACATCCAAGCATCGAGTCACGCGTTCGCCGCCACTCTGGCAGACGGCTCCGTTGTGACTTTGGTGTGCACTGGGCAGATCTAGGTCGTCTTGAAAGACGATATAAAACCACAATCGACCCGAGACCCTGCTTCTGCTCCCTTTCCTGTTAAGGTGACGTGGGGCAATGGGCGGTGCGGTGGCGACAGCAGCTCTGTGCAGGGGAAGCTGGTTGGGGTGCAGCGCATCTGGGCATCCAAGCTGGCCTTTGCCGCCCTCACCAGCAACTTGGGGGCCATGGTAGAGGGGCTTTTTTGAGGGTACTCAAGACTGTGACCCCTAAACGGCCCCACCAGGCCCCGGCAAGCCCCAATCCATCCACTCCTAAAATTGCCCCAAAGATCCCAAAGCGACATAAACATCTATAAGCCCGAAACTCCCCGAACTCCAAAGCCTGACAGTCCCCAACGCCACAGGCGAGTCTCTGGTCACCTGGGGCAGTTTCGATGCAGGCGGGGACTGCAGCGCCGCCGCAGCGGAGCTGGCGCAAGGCGCGCCCTGCCTTGGGGCTTTTGAGGGTTGTTAGCTTTTCCTGCAAGAGATGCATCGGTTTAGGCCGGCAGTCTTGAGCCGATAGGGTCTTCCAGTGCTAGAGGATGGTAGAGGATTGAAAGGGAGACTCCAGCGATCTAGCAGCCTTGGTACCTTCCGACTGTGAAACTTTGCTTGTCGTCCTTGTGGCATGCAGAGTCCACGCTGCAGACTTTAGACTCCGGGCGACGTCCCTCCAAGTCCAGAGCTCCCTGCACCCCCAAACAGGGTTAGGGGTGTTGCGGGTTGTTGAAGGCAGTTGAGAGTTTACGCTGACTCACGAAGCCTCCACATCCTTACCCGACTCTACCAGCAAGGAAGAAGACCCTGAACACCCTGAACACCCTGAACACCCCCAACACCGTGAAGACAGTGAAAGACACTGAAAGACCCTGAAAGCTGACTTCAGGCGTACGGCAGGTCGCCGCTTCTGAGCTCGCCTTCGGGGCCGTGCTCCTGGATGGCTCGGTGGTGACATGGGGCGATAGTGACTATGGTGGAGACAGCAGTGGCCTGTTAGGTCTGGATATTTTTTTTTTGATCTTTACGGTCGAAAGCAGGACAGAGGCCCACCCCGAACTCGAAAGAACCTTCAAGTCGACGAAGCCGAGGGAGGGTTTCTTTAAGGCTCCCCAGCCACCTCAGGCGCCGTGCGGCACCAGCTGCAGTCGGTTCGGGAGCTGCGGGCATCGCAAGGCGCTACCTGAGGGCTCGGCTTGCAGAGTGGTTTTGAGCTCTCAGTCATCTCGGGGCTGTGGGGTTCAAGACTAAGGGCTGGGGGGTTTCTGGAGATTGGAGTTTTTTTTGAGAGCACTGGTTGTCATTGAATCATTATGCGGAGATGCCTCTGCCTGCCAAGAAGCTGGAGGCCTTCGCAACCGGTCCCGAAGCACCGAGGTCAAAATCTTCAAAGTGGACCCCCGCAAGGCGCCAAACCCCGCAACCGGTCCCTCTCGAAGCACCAAGGCGCCTTTGCTGCCCTCCGTTCGGACGGTTCCGTGGTCACCTGGGGATGCTCGGCACTGACTAAACCTTCTCTCCGCACCTTTTAACTTCAAGAACACACCAAAAACACACAAAAACACAAGAAGCCAAGGCAAGGAGAGCTACGGGGCGCACAGCGGCACCGTCCAGGAGCCGCCTCGGGTTTCAGCGAAGCGAGATTTTCAGGGCTTCACTAGTGTTTCAATTACCGTGCGTTCAGACACCTCCGTGCCTCCAGGTCACATGTCGGCTTCAGAAAGGTTTTTTCAGCTCCAGGCCTCCAGGCCTCCAGTCCCACACCCCACACCCCACACCCCACACCCCACACCCCACACCCCACACCCCACACCCCACACCCCACACCCCACTGGCCGAAACTAAGCCCGAAGCCCCCCCTGATCCCTCAGCTGCAAGCTTGCAAGCTTCTTCCTAAGCTTGCTGCAGGAGCAGCTGAAAGATGTCCTGGATGTGCAGGCGTCAGAGGTGCGGGCACGTTGTGTTCACAGGTCAAAAGCCTCCGGGGGTGAGGGTTGCATGGGGGTATATTCGGGGGCAGTAGGCTGCATGCCTTCAAGACCCGCTTGGGCGGCTCCAACTCTTCGAGCTTGGTTTGATGAGCCGCCGTAATCTGCAGTGGGCTTCTTTGGACCCTTTTCGGGATGAGAGACTTGGATTTGTTCCTCAAAGGATCCAAGTAAGGCAGGAAGCCCAAAGGGTCTACGTAAGGCCAATCCCCCCCCCGCCCCCTTTCCCTTCCGAAGCCCGAGCATTGAACCTCCCTGGAGTCGGCTTTTGCGGCCATCCTTGCCGATGGCTCCGTGGTCGCTTGGGGGAACGAGCGTGCGGGAGGTGCTCGGGATTTTCACACCTGCACTTCGCAGTGGCGTCGAAACATGCAACCCCTTCTTCCAAGCCCTCATGTATGTACATATAGACATGTACACATGTATATATACATACATACATACATACATACATACATATGTTCATACAAGGTTCTCATTCCAGTCCTGGTCGGCGTGGATTCTTTATCATTTGGGGTCATGGGTCCCTTTCTGCTAAAGGCTTAGGAGGGTTTGGTGCTTCGGGGCTTTTGCCGGACAAAGCCCAGACTGGACCCGAACCCGTGAGCCCGAGACATGGAGGCAACTGCTCGTCAGTGCAACACCTGCTGGTGGACACGCAGGAGCGGTTGGCTTTAGGCTTCGGGTTTTTGGGTTTAGGATTGAGTCGAGTGTGGAGGAATTTGTTTTTGTGCTTTGCAACTTCAAAATCGAATCCACTGCCCTTACAACTCAGGCATGAAGGCTCATTTTTTCCAAATCCGCACCACCCCCTCGCCCCGCAGACGCTTAGATGCCCCGAATCAACTTGGCCGTGGCCTCCCTCCAGAATTTCGCCGAGAGTCTGCGTGCCCTGCGCCCCATCCATCAGTACGCCATGAAGCAAACAAGGTGACAGCAACATCCACCCCCATGCGCTCAGTGGTTAAATTGTTTTGGAGCCTCGTTTCCCCTGCTCGGAGAACTCAAGAGCCTCCTGAATTTCCGAACAAGGAATAGGTCACTCTGACCCCGAACTCCAGCTTCGTGTTCTTATCTGCCCGGTTTACGGTAAATGCCATGTGGATCAGGGAGTATTGCTGAGGAGAGAATCTTCCGATTCTTACAGTCTGCAGTTGGTTCAGATGGGTGTCCGGGGACTGTAGGGCTGTAAGCTGTTCTGTTCTGAGGTAACAGGTTGAGCGTGGCGGCCGAATCAAGAAGTGCCTCCCAAAAGAGCAGGAGCTCTGCGCCTCCTTGGGTGCCTTCGCCGCGCGGCGCCGCGACGGCTCCGTGGTCAGCTGGGGCAATGCTCTCTTCGGTGGCGACAGCAGCGCTGTGCAGGCCAAAGGGCATATTCCATGACCTGCATTATGTATTGTGTATTATGATGTAGTATGATGCAATGTGATGTATTCTGATGTATTCTGATGTATTATGATGTATTATGATGTAATATGGTGTATGACGATGTAATATGATGAATTTTTAAATAAAATGATGTATTATGATGTACTATGATGCATCATGATGTATTATGATGCATTTTGATGTATTATGATGTATTATGTACTCGGTATTCTGCCTCATGCATTATGTATTATGTACTATGTATTGTGTATTGCGTATTATGTATTATGTATTATGCATTATGTACAATGTATTATGTATATGTCTGCCTTCACATATACACATGTAGACATCCTCCACCTGTGTCCTACATATATGTAGCCTTCCTTTTGTTCAACGTCCAAGGCAAGGTCCAAGGTCCAGGGTCCAAGGTCCAAGGTGCAAGGTCCGAGGTCCAAGGTCCAAGGTCCAAGGGCCAAGGTCCAAGGTCCAAGGTGCAAGGTGCAAGGTCCAAGGTCCAAGGTCCAAAATGTTTGCGAACACTTGCAGCGTACTCGAAAGCCCCGTGCATGTGACGCATGCCGATCTAAGCTGTGGACAGCTTTGTTCGCTTGATTGCGCTGTTCTTGTGCTGCTTGCGTGGCTGTGGGCGATTTTATTTGGCATTTCTTGTGGCGAAGCTGGGCAAAAGCGGTGTCCTGCAGCTTTCTGCCGTGGTTTGCTCGGCTGCTGAACTTCAGCTAGCTGTGCTGGTCTTCCTCGTCCTGCTCCCCTTGGTTGTTTGACTCTAAGAAGCTTGCTGGGGACAGGCGTCGGGCGTTGGCCTTGTCATCTTCTGCCTCGCCAGCGTCAGCTTTGTGTGTAGTGGAGGGCAGGAGTAACAAGCGTGCTAGAATTGTGGCTTCATGCCTCCCGGACTGCCGCAAAGGTTATGAGAGCTTGCGGGGTGAGGAAGATTCGCGCATACGCGTGGTGCGGCGCACCTGTCGGTGGTTATTCCAGTTGCGCTGCCCTCGGGCAAGGCGGTGTTGGAGATGAGATGACATTTACTGGGATGTGAAAGCACTGCTTGGGCCCGCTGGGCCTTTGCAGTGAGTTGTGTGCCTGCGCTGAAAAGTCACCGTGCGGACTTCTTTAGGGTTCTTCAGGTCTAAGGATCCAAGGCCCGAAGCCCAATCCACCTGACAGTCTTGGATCTTGGATTCTTAGCCTGAAAGCTCTCTAACCTTGAATCCCTAGCCGAAAGCCCCCAAGACTAAACCCCAAGCTGTACACGCCAAAACCGTACAAGCCCTGCAAACCACTTAACAAGTCCCATAAACCCTACATACCCTACATAAACAACCCCAAATGCCCTAAAAACCCTTTTTAAGTCCCATCAGCGCTATAAGCCCCTATAAACGCCTATACTTCCCATACACGCCGAGAAAAGCCCTATATAAACGCCTATCAAGGCCCTCTATTGAACGCCCCAGTTGGTGAGGCCTCCTTACGCGACGTGCGTCGGCTCCACGCCTCGGGCCACGCCTTCGCGGCGATGCGGGAAGATGGCTCGGCCGCCCGGCGCAACGCCTCGCACTCCTGGGGGATCCGTTGACAACCTTAGGAGGCGCGATGTGGCCTGGTACACGCGGCCCTGACATACGTACCCCCAGATCCCTCAGAACCCATTGAAAACTGAATCCTGCCAAAAACATACAGGCCCGTGTACATGTAGAGTAGAGGTGTGGAGAACCGCAGGATGGCAAGCTTCAGGTAATCCAAGATCGGGGGGGCAACCAGTGCGGGAGCCAAGTAGAATGGTTTCCAATATTCCGTCCTCGTAGTCTTTATATACATGCTTGTTGATACTTATTGATACTTATTGTGCAGACTACCCCAGTTTGAATCAGTTAGGCCGCTCTGTTCGGGTTTGGCTTAGGTGGTGACCTGGGGGAATGCGGCCTATGGTGGTGACAGCGGTGCGGTGAAATCTGCACTGCGCTCTGTCGCCTGAAGCTCATGGTGCGTGGTGAACGGGGCTTGGGGGGTGAGGATCATTGCGGTGAGCAGGCACGAGCGGAGTCAGGGTTCGGATGGAAAACCGTGTTTCACGCTTCCGTATAAGAAGATTCATCGCCCAGTGTACATATTCAGAATGGTGACGCGACCTTCGTTTCCGCCGATATTTTGAAGCGCAGAGGTCAAGCGCAAGGGGATCGAGGTTGACAGAGCTCCTGCGAAAGCACCGAACTTAACCCAGAGGTTAACCCACCACTCCTGAACAAAAGCCAAGCAAAAGCGCCCCGAAACCCTAAAGCCCACACAGCCTTTCAGCTGTGGCCCCTCAAAACTCTCCACCCCTGGTAGTTTTGAACACGGTTTAAAATGGGTTCGGAGGGTTGAGGTCTTGTTGTCTTTCTTAATGGATGTGTGGGTTTTTGTCTGGGTGAAATCTTGGGGTGCACAGGCCTTAAGGGTTCTAGGTCGCAGGCGCATGATGCAGATTCTCTATCATTTTCTTCTAACATTGACTAAACCCTCAACTGTTCCTGGCCAACCTCGTGAATTAGGTACTGCTCGAAAAGGGCAGAAGGCACATGGAGGGGAAAGAAAGACCGCAGGATTCGCTTTTGCTTGAGAGGCCACATGGGGTTATTGTACTCCCCCGTTCAGGGTTTTGGTTCTTCCCCTTTTTCTTGTTGGGTGCGCGGGGGGGGGGGGGAGGGGTTTTAGGTTTCAGGGCTTTGTGCCGGACCACGGCAAGTTAGTCTCAGGAGCTCGCGCCCTGCTCTCTTGCTGTCCAGCCAGATACCTGCTCAGGGGCTTTGGAAACGCAATGGGTACTTGATGACAACAACCCCTGAACCTGAAGGCTTTGAGGAGAACAGACGAATTGGTTCTTGGCATAGACCTTGACTTGGAAAGGCTTGGAGCAGCTGAAGCTTGAGAACCCTGCGGCAGCCGCCGACTTCACGGCCGCGGCAGGAGCGCAGAGAGAGAGAGAGAGACTGAAACAACGTCGAGACTTGATTGAAGGAAAGGTTGACTGGGGGTTTTAGTGATGTGGGCTGGCCGTTTAGGGTTTGCCGGGTTTTTAGGGTTTTTTGGGCATTTAGGCTCACTTGGGCTCCACTTGGAAGACAGTGTGAAATTGTAAGAGGTGCTGTGAGTGTCCAGGTGTTGAAGGCCGTAGGGCTTAAGCGGGTTTTGAGGAGCAGGTGTGTCGCAGAGCAGATCTGTGATCGGTCCGTATAATGTTAGGCTTCTTGCTGTTGAGTGGGAAAGTAAGGGGCCTCTTCATGAAGGAGTCGTCACTCCCCTCGTCACCATTGCAGGCCTTTCCTTGGGTGAGTACACGGCCTTGACAGCGGCTGGAACGCCCGGGCCTCAGCCGCCAAAGAAACTTCGTGATCCCAAGCTTGGGCCTTTCCCCCTTAAAGCCCTAAACCCCTGGCCACTGGCATCGAAACGGGAACATCGTAGGGGTCCAGCCCCTCGAGTTCGCGCATTTTTAATGTAAGTTTTTCAGCATGCAGCCCTACACCTTTCAAGATTCTCTCACCCCCTTTCAGGGCCCGCACCCTGGGCCCAAGCGCCTTGCTGAAGGTTTGACTTCGCGACTGGCCTCCGCCTCGTCAAGCTGCGGGGTGAAGCCATGCAGGACAACAGGGGGATTAGGCACCCGTTGCCGCAGAAGCGATGCGCTTGGGTTTAATGAGCTGGAAGGGACCGGAGAGGCTTTCCGTGACCCTACATGGAACTCCAGACCGAAAAGCCCAAAGTGCAGGAGGCGACGAAGCTGGGCACGGGTCAGGCGCGCGAGCGCGCTGGTGCTTTGGGACTTATGAGGTTTCTTTCTTTCCTGAGGGGAGGGGGGCGGCAAGGGCGAGCATCTCCCGTGCCCCTACTGCACCCTGAGAGGGTCTTTCAACAAGCCCTGACACCCTGAAACCTTGGCTCAAGCAACACCGTGCCCCAAGTCCTTAACTCCAACCCGAATGCCAGGCTATGGCGTCCGTCGCTGGCCTCACGAGGCTCAGCCACGGTGAGCATCTCATTTTCGGTTAGGCGAAGCAGCGCCGTAGAGTTTGGGGGCTCAAAAGCGGTAGTTGGCTTAGGCTTAGACTCGGCTTAGACCATCGTTGTACAAGTGGGCTAAACTCAGCTACAGCTTGACCTAAATGCTGGATAGGGTTGGAGAAGTTATGCAGAATGTTTAAATCTGGGGAGCCTGAAGGCTTACCTCTAGAGCTGATGCTGGAGAGCCAGAGTCATCGGCACACGGGCTATCATGTGACGAAACGCGAAACGCGAAAGCCCCCCCAAAACTCCCTGAAAACCTAAACCCCTTTCCTGCAACCCTTCTCCACTTCTCCGCCCTTTCCAAGCTCTGCTTCTCCCCCCAGCCACCTGACTTCGAAACCGCTGTCCCTCCAGACCCTAAGAAACTTCAAAGGAAGTCCTTGAGAACCCCTTCCTGGGACCCTCAAAGGCCTTAAGCCGTCCTTTACACCAGCAGCTGCCCTTGAAACCAGCAGCTGCCCAAAGTTGACAGGGCGAAGCTGGAGGCGCCTTCGCCGGGTGAGAGGGAGAACTTTTGGATCCCTTTTGGGCCCCGTTTTGGAATGTGCATGTATATCTACTTGCCTCGCTGAAGAGTAGCCGGATCCTCGTACGTGTATTGGGGCAGGGACACTATGCTATGGCAGAGCGAGTGTGTTGCCCACCTCGACCATGTGGGGTTTGGGGTTCCCCGAAGCCAGAGATGAGCTCATGTGATCCCCCCACCAGACGCTTTGCCGGGATTGCATCGAGAGCGACGCAGACACCTGCCAGGCGGACTTGGGGATTTGTCTGGACACTTCCTGGTAGCTTTTTTGGTGTCACGCCTAAGCCAGAATCTGTAAACCGAACGCCAAGCCCCGGAGCCTGTACGTTTTCCGAGAACCACTCCGGAGGCCCTTGCCTTTGCGCCCAAACTCCAGGAGTTCTGTCGCCAACAAGATACATACAGAAACACCATAGAACGATTAAATGTGTTCTCAGACTTGCACTAAGCCGTCATGTTGCTCCACAGTAGCTCTTCTTGGCAGGCTTCGGTGCCTGGGATCAAAGCCAACCCAAGCGATTCCGCAAAGGTGGCAAACTTCCTTTTTCCGAATGGCTTCTCCGTTGCCGGAACGGAGCCGGCGGTGCAGCGGTTGGTGGGTCGGGCGGGGGCCCCGCGTCTTCCAGTGCAGTTTCAAACTTGTTGACCTCAGCGGAACCCCCAAATGCTCCTACACCCTGTAAACTTCACGGCGCTCGAACTGTAAAGCCATGAAAAGCGCCCGAGTGTGAGGCGACGGCCACCACTGGATGCCTCCAAGCCAAGCTGCTCAAAACCTCGGGTGCCTTCCACACGCGGCGCGGCTTGTGGCTCACTTCGGGGGTCTGGTGTCTTCGCGACCACTTTCGGCGATTGAACCCCCCCCCCCCGCCCCCTCTCCCCCTAATGATCCCTTATGAGGAGTGCGATTTTTTCGGCTCAGCGGTTTTGGGCCAGGGCTTGGATGTCGCAAGCCGAGGCAGCTCATGCAGCCAGCGCGCGAGCGGCTCCTGGCGGCACTCCGGGACGCGGAGCCATCCATGCGCTTTGGCGAGCGCTTGCGGTGACTTCTCTGTTGGAGCTTGGTGGAGGGTGCATCATGGGCCCCCGGCCCCAAACCCCCCCTAAAGCGGTTCTTGAAAATTCTTTGAAAATTGAAGTGGGGAATCTAATCTGATTTAGCAGAGGTCGGGCTTGCTTCTGCCAGCTAGTTGGTGACTGGGATACGACGACGGTGTCGCAGGGGCCTTAGGACTTGGAACTCCCGAAAACCCCCCCAGGAAGCCGCCCACGCGCGACATCTACGCCAACCTCACCGGTGCAAGGCCTCTGTGCTTGATCTCACCGCGCCTTGCAGTGGCGCTAAAGATTCTAAAGATTCTAAAGATTCTTGCGGGGTCTTGCTGTGGAGGTCTCCAAACTTCTCTAAGCCTGGGAGCTCCCATTAGCGAGAGGCCTCACGAGGTCGCCCAAGTCCTGAGCAGGCTTCCAGCCGGCACGCCGGTCCAGGAGATCATTACGAGCTTGGCAGACCAGCTCACAAACTGCACCTCTTAGCTGATTCAGAGGTGCTGTTCGGGTTTTCGGGCTTCTAGCTCCGCTGCAGGGGGCGTAAGGGCAGGTGGCATAGGAAGTCTAAACTCCCCCCATATCCTGCCCAACACATGTTCCGACTGTGTTTTTTGCCTTCGAAAGAGCGGCAATCAGAAGTCCTCGATGTGCTGCCGCTTGAGCCGGTTGTGGCAACTAAGGCGTCCTGTGGGAGCCGTGCATGCGTGCTGCTCTGGCAGACGGCCTGTCCGAGCACCTTGGGGTCAAGTTATCCATATTCTTGTGTCTCTCTAGTTGGAATTCTTGAAGGAGCCCGCCCCAAGCTCTTAAAAGCCTGAAGGCGAGGCCCTGAACCAAAAGTGTGGGAGGCCCTAAACCCTAGACCCTTTCTAAATCCGATCCGTGCCTCACATATCTCACATGCCCCCCCCCCCCCCCCCCCAAACGCCATCGCCCGCAAAAGAACGAAGACGCCTTGCAATTTCGACGCAAAGCTCTCCACCCTTCCGCCCAAGAAGCCCAACCCGAAACCCTGGAGCAGATCCGCAGGTTTTACGAGCTGGGCCCCATGAAGCAGCTCAAGTCCATGATGAAGCGCCCCTTGGGCCAAGTAGGAATTTCAGCGGGCAGACTACATGTCAACAACTATAAGAGATAATGTCTGGTGTTCGGGGCTCAGGGCTTCTTTTTGCCGGGTGTACGGTGTAGGGTTATCAGCTCTCCAGATCTAGATCGCTCATGAATCTCCAAAAGTGGGGGGATCCGGGCCAGGGTTCCCCTCCCAACTTCCGAGGCATCGACCAGTCGGCCTGGCAGAAGACCCAGCCGCTGGGCCGGATCAGCCGTCAGAGCCACACCCGACCGGGAGGTCCATGGGTTACTTGAGCTGAGTAGGCAAAAGGTCTCCTACACTTTTGGTAGCCCTACTCTGGCCCTGCTTGGGATACCACAAACGCCAGTCGTAAGTGCCCATGAAGCACTCTCGAATGCTCCAAGTCCGTCCAACAACCGTGAAAGCCTCCCGTTTCTCGGGGGGTTCATCTGCTCTACTCCCATGACTGAGGAATGTCATGGTTTGAGCACATCGCAAGCAGATTTGCTGCCAGCGGCTTGGCGGGCTTCGCTGACTTTTCAATGGCAGATGAATCGAACTACAGTTACCATTTGGCTGGCTTGCTTGGAAGACGTTGGTTCAGTGGCAGCCCTCGGAGGCTGCTTCATGTTGCCGTGCCTTTGTTTGTTCCTTTTTCGTTCTCTGAGGGCCTTGGCCTAAAAAACTGGATTTGCGTTCATCACCCGTCGGACAGTGATTTCACAGAGGTAGAGACGAGACTCAGTCACAGATTTCAGATTTGGTCTGCTTCCTTCACGAACATCTCCCTGAGCCTTCAACACATGCTTGCCGTTCGGCTTGTCTTGTCTAGCCGGGCCAACCCCTGCGAGAGCAACGAACAAGAAGATACAAGAAGTAGGCAACCCAAAATTATGCCGAAAACCCAGCCGAGGCTCGCCGCTTAGATGCTCTTCCCGGATGGCAGCAAAAAGCGCTGGGTCTAAACTTCCCAACCCCAGAAAGCCTCAGGTTTGAAAGCGCATTCCAAGGAAATAAAAACAAGTCGCTTGCCTCTGAGAAAATGCCAGGAAGGCTCAGGACCCCCCCCCCCCCCCCCCAAATGATCGCGGCCTAAAGCAGTGATCTGCTAGTGTCCAAGGAGCAGTCGTCAGAAGGGCAGCAGCAGGTAGCCGCTGCTTTCGTAGCAACCCTCGTAGGAACGGGAAGTAGCAGTCTGTGCTGTTGTACGTATAGTGAGTGCCGTCTTCAATCATGCGGTGCACGAGGTTGAGAGTATTACTCGGTGGGCGGTCGTTGGAAGATGCCCGGTTGCCATGCGGCAAGCGGTGGACAATCTGGCATGCCATGTCCGGACTTTTTTTTTGGTATCTTCCCCCCGCAAAGTTCCAAGATCTCAAAGCACGACCCTGCACCCTTCAACATGGAGCACATGGAGCATTAGATATACCTGCCATAGATACTATTGGTATAATAGTTGCTGAACCAGCAGGCGCCGAGTAGAGATCTTATGAGAACCTGCGGACGCCTAGAGACCCGTGGGAACAGAACACGCAGGCCTTTTGTCACGCCTCCAGCCCACATCGAGAATCCAATACTTCCCTTGTCCCTTCACTCCTGGAGCCATGGATGTGCCAGCGGACCCTGTGCGGTGCAGCGCTCAGAGATCGCGGCACGTTCCGTTCTGCATTCTGGTTTCTTTTTACTTGTTGACAAAAGCTGCAGGCAAAAAAGGTTTTGGGTGGGACCTGCCTCTTGAAGGTGTGTACCGGGGCTTCCTGAGTTTTTCTTGGGGGATGCGTGGTACAAGCCCAGAAGCCCTTCAAATCTTGCGACAAGAGTGGCGCACCACCTGCCGGGCCATGGTGATAACAAAGAGAACATTGTTGTGGAGTGCTCTCCAAGAGGAATCCACATGTGAACTCTACTTCTCCCCAGACCCCTTAAGAGGGAGCCATGAGAGGTGGAGCTACAAGGAGCTAATCGACTCCTTCCCCACCTACCATGAGGGCACAGGCCCTGCGTGCCTTCGGTGGTTCAGGGCCTCAGGGTTTACACAACCTTGAGAGGGTTTATGAGATAGATTCGTTTCAAAGGCTTGTCGAAACCCTCTTTAGATGCCGTGCTGACCGGGATGCCCCTCAAAAGCCGACCCAGACAAGCATGAACAGGCTTTCCAAGTCTTAAGATCTATCGTCGTGGTTTGCGGGCTGCTTCCGAATGGCTTTTCAGTGCTGCAGGGTTCATGTTCATGGTATTTAGCATGGAGCTGTCTGGTTTGGATTTTCGGCGAGCTTCAGGCGCAGCGGGGGCTTTCATGTAGCTTTGAACATTGCCGGGCTTCATGTGCTTGGAAATCTAAGGAAAAATCCTACCTGCCTTGTGACCTTGCAGAACCGCCCCCCCCCCCCCCCCCCCAAACGATTCGTGGTGCCAGATGCGGCGTTGAATAGGATTCCGCCATTCCAACCCCCACCTCCCGCACTCCAACAAGAAACTCACGCCCAAGCTGGGTTCCTGTCAGTCCTGACCACCCCGCCCTAGTGCCATTGTTTCACCGGCAAGGGGGATCCCGGCCCCTTCGGGACTTCGCGTCCCGGCTGCCAGCAGGCAGCGCTGGCAAGCAACTTGCTCCGATTTTAGCTTCGTGTTTGGGGTTTGCGACGCGTCGGGTAAGGATTTGTGTAGCGTTTTCGCGAGCACCTCCCCCCCCTCTCCAGAAAAAGGCAACATGGCGACTCAGTCCGCAATCCTGAGCTGAATCTTGCGCGGCCGAGTTGCAGGGATTGGGAACAAAGCAGGCCCTTTCGACCCAATAGAAAATCCTTGAGACACTAAGTTTGAAGGCCCTTAACGCTCCAACACCCCTTTCCCCATTCCCCCCGATTCCCTAAGCCCCAAGGCCGCGGGAAGCCCCGCGGGAAGCCCCGCGGGAAGCCCCGCGGGAAGCCCCGCGAGAAGCTGCGCGGGAAGCCGCGCGGGAAGCCCCAGCCCCCGACACCCGAGCCGCACGGCCGCGGCCGAAGCCCAAGGAATCCGCCCGGGGCACTCGGGGGCAGGGCTTAGAGGCTTAGCGTGATGCAGGGACCTCACTTGTAATGAGGCATTAGCTTTCTGGTTGTGGAGTTTGGAGAGTCTATGGCTGTGGTAGTGAAGGCTTTATTCATGTTTCGGGGCGTTTCACGATTCGGCATGCATTTTCACGTCAACCTTGCAATCAAGGAGGTGCCCCCCCCCCCTCTCCAAAAAATAGAAAAAACAAAACAAACAGCAGCAGCAACAACAACAAAACACACCAAACGACCTGAACTCCCCCCCTGCGCATGACCGCGCAGGCCGCGGACCGCGAGCCTGCGCCGAAGCCGCGGCGCGCGGCCGCGGCTCGAGTCCCCGAGGCTCAGGGTTTCGGGGGGAGGTTTGGGGAGTTTAGGGGGCGAGGTTTGGGGTTTTAGGGTTTACGGGCTTTTGACCCAAGGTACGGTTTTCGTGAGGCAGAACATGTATTTCGTAAAAGTCGTAAACCCTGTTCATAGGCCTCTAGGAGCTGATGGTGGGAAAGGGACGGCAGAAAGGATCAGAGATAGCTTGTTGCTGCAAAGTCTCCCAATTTTCGAAGTGTCTTTAGTGGGTCATTTTGACAAAAAACTAGAAGTTGGTAATGTCATGTCAAGATACGGCCACAAGGAGACACCAAGCACAGAACACAGGCAACACATTGAATCTACGGGATGTCTTAGCAACGAAATAGGATGAAAGGTTCTCATAAAATAAAATAAGGTTAAGATTGAGATACACGATATAATGAGCCCCACATGTGTAGTTGACATATTAGAGGGAGAGGGAGAGGGAGAGGGAGAGGGAGAGGGAGAGGGAGAGGGAGGGAGAGGGAGAGGGAGAGGGAGAGGGAGAGGGAGAGGGCGAGGGCGAGGGCGAGGGCGAGGGCGAGGGCGAGGGCGAGGGCGACGGGGTGACACGTGCTCAGATGCACCTGCATGTGCGCGGTGGCTATTGTGGATGCGAAAATGCTTGCATGCAGACTCATCTGCATGTGTTCGCACGCGCGCACACATGTACTCGGACGCGTGCGCGCACACATGTGTGTATGTGCATGGGTAGGACTGTATGCGGAAAGACATGTCGCACGCCGAAAGCTCTATAAATAGACGCGGGCCCACACGTACGTGTATATGTGTGTGTGTGTGTGTGTGTGTGTGTGTGTGTGTGTGTGTGTGTGTGTGTGTGTGTGTGTCCGTTCACTGCTGGGATAAGCAGACTCATAATCGTAATGCTGAGACAAAGTTCAAAAACAAGCTGTGTCGTTGTCTGACGGCGAGCCAGAGGTGCGCGGGTGGACTCCAAACTAAGACCTGACATCTTGAAATCCTAGCAAGGCCTTCGGGTTTGGGTTTAGGGTGTACGTAGGGCTTCATGGTTCAACGGCCACAAAATTGGCCTGTGGTTACAGCCTTGTAGCGGTTACATCTCGGCTAAAACTTCAGCACCCACTGTTCTAGCCCCAACTTGTGTGCTTATCCATGGCTGGGGCTCCAAGTAAGTGGAGCCAAGGCTGCTAAATTGATTACTCAAACCCGAGGTCCTGTCTAAGCCGCCCTAAACATCCTTAAGACAGTGTCCCAGACCCTGTCCCTAAGCGCCCGGACTCCCTCCTTTGCCCTGGGACGGCCTCTTTGCAGAGGTGCTGCCGGTGAAGGCCCAGGTTGCAGCGGCTGAGCCGCCAGGGGCTTGGATAGGTTTCAGGTTGCAGATTTTGAGGGTTTCAGCTTCTATGCGGCTTGAGGGTTTTCAGGGATTGCGGAACTTCTCGTTTGCCTCTTGTGCTGCCGGCCCTTGGCAAAGTTGGGCAGCAGTTTCAACTGGGGAGCAAAGTACCATGGATCCTTCGACACAGGCATCCAGGTTTTTGGGGTTTCGGTTGCCAAGGTCGATGTGATGTTCCGTTTTTGCTTCGCAGCTCGTTGGGCTCTCCAGTCCTGTGGGCGCAAAACTGGGTGAAAGGAACGTGCCGGGGATGTTCCGCCGGGATGAAGAATGCTTGAATGCGCGCAGACTCGTGTGTTGACAAAAGACATGGGGGACGTGCGCATGGACATGTTTGGAACCCGCCCGCGCAACCTAAAATGCAGTTTGCAGAGCTGTTGGGCGCTTTAGAAATTCCCTGCGCCGTTTGATATGCTTGTCATTCTTTGTCCGACGGTTTCTATGGTCGCCGGGCCAAGGGGAGAAATAAGGGGTTTTGTACAGCCTTGCAGTGGGGTGCTAAACCTCAAGCGCAGACGGGGGTAGCAGCAAACCTTCGCAGTAAAATTTGGAAGCAAACAATCTCATCCCCTCAGTGCGGGACACCCCCCAAAGGACTCCCCTAATCCGAAGGCGGGGGCCGGTACCGCCGCCTTTTGCAGCGGTCGGGGCAGCCCTTCCAGAGGCTGCCTGCGACTTTGAACATTTTGAACCATCCTGCATCTCAAGCTTCAAGCTGCGCCAGAGACAAGCGCCCTGCGAAACCTGCCATGCCCACCAGTCGAAGCCTGCAAAGCATTAAAACTATCGGTGGAATTGCATATGCTGCATCTCCTTCCAACACTCCCCTAAACAGGGGACCCCAAAACCCTAAACCTAGGACATCGCCAAAAACTTGCCCCAAGCCCGTCTGAAACCCGAACCCACAGGAGATGGAGGAGGCGGAGGAGGAGGCAGCGGAGCCGGGCGAAGGGGAGGCCCTGAGCCCCGAGTGCGTACCGGCGCGCTTGACTTTTGGGGGTAGGCTATGGGGCGAGGCCTCCAGCTGGCTTCGGGCCCTTCCATGAAATGAGGCACCTTAAGCAGCTCTAATCTCCAGCGTGAAGCTTTGCGATCGCATCTTTAGTGGCTTTAGTGCTCACCAGACAAGTGGCAAGATTGTTCAGGGGTAGGCCTGCATGTAACTGTGGAGAAATTGGCAGGCTGGCTACAACTGGCTTGGACTGACGGTTGTTTCTGTTTCTTTGTGTCTTTAACGTTGCAGTTTGGATGTCCCGGTCTCTTTTTAAAGGCGTTGGTTGCGCTTTTGGGGTGCCATGCGCTCGTCTCCAGAGCGATTCGAACGACCTGAGCTTTCAGTCAAAGAACCAGTCCGGACAACTGCGCTGAGTGCCTAGAAGCCCCCTGGTGCGCCGGCGAGACCATGGCAGACCATGGCAGAGCTGTGGGTGCAAAGGGGTTGTCAGCCGAAGGCCGAAGTAGGTGATGGCACGACTTTCAGGCTTGGTCTCGTGGAGCAGCCCCCGCCACTTGCCAGGCAGTACGCGGAATGGATGAAGTACTACCGCGAGTGCATCGAGTCTGGGCCTCTGATCTTTCATCCCTTTCATCCCTTTCATCCCTTTCATCCCTTTCATCCCTTTCATCCCTTTCATGCCTTTCATTTTGAGAAGTCGGTTTGGGGATGTCCTACCCACGCCCTCAGAGCGACAGTATGGGTTAGGTTTGAGACACAGTTGCTACACGTGACCACAGGCGACGCCAGAACTGTCATGAGCATAGCATGAGTTTCGCAAGGACGAGTCACTAGTCATGCTCTGACGGTTCAGCCTGGATAGATTAGATGTTCGCGCAGGTGTAGGCTTGAATCGCCGGTAGAGTTGTCACGACAGACAGCAAAAACCTAGGTTGGCCTGAAGAGACTAGCAGATCCTTGACCTAACCTTGGCAGCAGAGGTACTTCCAGCAATGTGAAAGGAACTGCGCCCAGGAGGCCTAGCATGCTTTTGTTCAAGAAGGGGTTGCGCAGGGTCTTTCCTATGTTCATTCTTTTCTTCCCCGCATCACCGTGTGGGCCGCATGCGCGCATGCACTCGCGCTTTGAGGGATTTCGCAGGTGTTTTTGTGAGTCGCTTCAGATCGTTTTGCTTCGGCTTAGCAGAATCAGCAATTCTTCAAGTCCACGCCGGAGTGTTTTGTGCCAAAAGCTTAATCCCCCACAGGCATTCGAAGACGTGTTGCCCACTCGAAGTGCCAGTTGCGAAGGTTGTCCGTCCGCGGTTTGAAGCAGCACAGGCCATGTGCAAGGGAACGACATTGAGCGGCCGTGCTCTGGTGGCGGGTGGTGTCGACAAGCACTTGCAAGACGCGTCCGAGATTTCTCTGATGCGCGAATCTTTCAAAGGTCCACGTCGAGATTGCGCGTTTGCTGCTGGAAGCTCGTTCCAAGGCAAGCTTGCAGGACAGGTGCGATGCGACCGCTCTCTTGCGCTCGTCTTAGCACCAACAAGAAGTTATGCCACAGCTTCGGCACCACCTCGAGATTGGACGCTTGGAGCTGAACCCCGGAGCTGATGCAGTGCCAAAGTTCACATAAACGTTTGGGACTTTTCTTGGGGAGGCCAGGGAGGGGGAGGGGGGGGTCTTGGAGGATTGAGAATAAGGCTTTCGGGGTGGTATGGGTGTAAATGGAGAATTTTCAGAATTTTCAGAAACGAATCACTTCTAAACGGGTTTGACCTACACTCTGAACCCGTAGCCGCGGAGAGCGTAAGATGGACGGGCAAACGAGCTATGCCCGAACGTGGAATCCTTCCCAAGTATATAGATGCCGCAAGCCCCCGCAAGCCCGCATGCGGGGGCTTGGGGTGGCTCACATCTGTCGTTGCGAGAGGCGGGCGTGGAACCACCTCCCAGCCGCGGCGGTGGGGAGTCCTTGAGGCGATGGCGCACTTAAGGCTTCATGCTGCGGCGGAGTTACGCCCCCCAAATCCGAGACTCAGACTCCGACTCACCCACAGTTACCCGAAATAGCCCCAAGCGCAAGGCTGAACTGAGCTCCTCGTTAAGCCACCCCGTGCAAGCCCTGTAACTTCAGCCCCCCGCAACGACTCCTAAGCCAACCATGAAGACACTGTGTGCTTGAAATCCATGCGCACACCGTATATAGTTTTGGGTTGGAATTGATCACTATCCAAGTTGCCCTGTCTGCTTGTGCAGTAAATATATTGGGTGCGGAACTTAAGCCAAAACTCAAAACACGATAGGTACATTTTGTCCCAACCATTTGATACCATTTGTTGAGGTTGAATTTTACAAATACGCCAAAATTGACAGAGTACAGTGTCTAGTTTTTTTTTTTGAAAATAGCAAGATAATACAATAAACAATTAGTTTCTAAAGAAATTGCCAAGCATGATAATACCAATTATTTTGTCCAAAATATCAAAACATCATTTTCATTCGACAACTACAACAAATACATAAACTAGAGAAAAATGCAAAAATGTACGCATATTATATATAAATAAATAGATAAATCAACAAATAGATAAATAGATAAATAGATAAATAGATAAATAAATAAATACATATACATACGCACAGATATATGTACCGATTTCCTACGTGGGGTTTTACGCCTGGAGGCCTCCAGCCACTGATCGCCTCCCAGAAGTGCGCGACTGAAATCGCCAGAACGGAGCCGGGGGAGATCTCAGGGGAAGCGTTTATGGGGGCTTTCAGGGGAAACATAGGGGATGTAAGGGTTTGGGAGTTTTTGCCTGGGAAGAAATATTGGCCGTGGCCTTGCCCTGGAGACCCCCAAAATATCGAAGAAGCCCAATATCTTCAACACCCTTCGAGACTTGACCGCCCTAACCTCCTGGGCAAATCCTCTCGAACTACCTGAAGCTTAGGGAATCTAAAGCAAACAGCCCTTGAGCCTGACAAGAACCCGGCACCCGCAGTGAGCCGCGCCCCGGAGGCTCGATCTGGCGGTTTAGGGTTCACCAGGGGTTCATAAGGTTGCGTCGAAAATTCGAAGGTGCATACTTGATAGGGGCGCAGGCTTTCGCAGCTGAGAAGGGAGGGCAGAGTGTACAGATATTGAATCGTTCAGAACTCTGTTTCAGGCACAGCTTAAGCTCCGAAGTAAAATTCGCATGGGCTTCTCTAGGATGTACAGCGCAATCCTGGAGCAGGCTGGAGCATCTCTAGTCCCAATCTTGGGCCTTGCAACCCTCTACTCTCCGTACTCTCTCTCTCTACTAGTACCCTCCCTGAGCCTGCCTGGTGAAGCGTTGAAGCCCCGCATGATGACGCTGCAGTGATCTGCGGTGCTTCAATCTTCATCCTAAGCTTCGGCCGATGAGGCTCTTTTTTCCCTGACGTACCGAGACCCAGCGCCCCATGCCGGAACGCTGGGCGCCTTCAAGCCCGGCTACTTCCGTAGCATGTAGAGATGAGGGGCAATACAGGAGCCTAAGAATTCATATCGACATCGTCCCCTTCGAAGCCCGCATGAAACTCTAAGCCCAAGCTGTAAGCTGCCCAGAAGAATCCCATTCGAGTCAGTGCACAGACCATGGGCCCAATTTCAGGTGCGCCCGCCACTGCCCGCCTTCGAGGCCACCGGAGTGTTGCGACTTCGGGACCGCGTTTTTGGGCTTTGGGCACTTGCGGGGGCCCGTGTAGGGCCAGGTGGCCGTCGAGCTTAGGGGGTTGCGGGGCTTGCCTTGGGTTTTCAGGGCTCTTTCGGGCTTAGGGCTTAGGTAACTTAGGGCTTAGGGCCGGCTCTATGTGGGTTGAACCTTGACGGATCTTGCAGCCTCAGAGGTCCCTTAGCCGAAGCGGCATCGCAAGGGGCAAGCATCGCACGTTCGGCTTTCAATCGAAGTTCGGGCGATTTCAGCTACAACAAGACATTTGACACTTACAAATGAAACAAACTTTAATGCACACTTATTTAAATTTCGAAGATGTATAGTTTTAGTCATAGGCAAACACTGGCCTTGAAAAGAACATCGAAAATTCGAGAATAAGATCGGCAATTTAAACTTCTTGAGTTTTAAGTTATGAAATTTAACCTGTTCCAATTTGCTTTGAAGGCCAAATGTTCCAGGTTTACCTTGGTACCCGAACACAGCCGTCGAATACAGGTTCTGTGTACACACCGCCAAGCCCAAACTCCGCCCCCCAACCCACGCAACCCCCGCACCCCCCATCAAGAGCCGCAGAACCAAGAAACCGATCCCTCAGTCAGCAGCGCCCTCGCCATTCTCGCTGAATGGTGCCGCCTCTCTCATGCCGCCCCCACTGCCTGAGGCCCCAAAGGGTGCTGAGGAAAGGGCTTCAGGGGGTTGCAGGGCGTCAGGGCTGTGCCTGGGGTTACGGCGTTCAGGGTCTATGTTGTGTTCTGATCTTCAAGTCTCTGTTTGTCCCATTGTGTATCTAGTCGGAATGGGCATCTCTGCTGGTCGGTTAACTGTTCCTCACATGGTTCCTCGGCTCTTTTCATGCTCGTAAGGGTCCCGGAAGCCTGAACCCTGAACCAACCAAGTCCCAGCTGTTTGCTCTTTGCTCTGTGCTCTGTTCTTCGCATGGCCATGAGAAACTGTCAACGACGGCAAGGGTCTTGGGGCGACGCCCCAGCCGCTGTTGCAGGCAATGGGATGGGGGGCGGCTGTTAGAGAGATTTGCGATGTGAGGGTGGTTCAGGAGCTGGGGCTTCACCTAAATGTGTGCCAGTCTTGACGTGCATTCTTGTCCTGCCGCACATTGCTGTGTTCCAGCGTGTGGCGAAGTAGAATAGTGCGCTGCAAGTACGAGGGGTATGTATATATATATATATATATATGTGAGAGAGCCCTTTCGGGTCTATTTTGCGTATCCTCTTGCTTGCCTTCTATTTAATTAATTTAATTAATTTAATTAATTTAATTAATTGAATTAATTGAATTAATTGAATTAATTGAATTAATTGAATTAATTGAATTAATTGAATTAATTGAATTAATCGAAATCAACAAATTTCTTTTGCGAATTCAATTAATTCAATTAATTGAATTAATTTAATTAATTTAATTAATTCAAATAATTGAATTCGAAAAACCTCTTTCGCTAATTCAATTAATTCAATTAATTCAATTAATTGGATTAATTGAATTAATTGAATTCGAAAAGCCTCTTTCGCTAATTCAATTAATTCAAATTCAATTTCAATTAATTCAATTAATTCAATTCAATTAATTCATTAATTCAATAATTCAATAATTCAAATTAATTCAATTAATTCATTAATTCAATTATCTATTTTTTTTTTTTTAAACAAAGATTTTTCCCCCTATTGAATTAATTATTTCAATTAATTCAATTAATTCAATAATTCAATTTGAATTAACTGAATTAATTGAATTCGAAAAGGCTCCTTCGCTAATTCAATTAATTCAATTAATTCAATTAATTGAATTAATTGAATTAATTGAATTAATTGAATTAATTGAATTAATTCAATTAATTCAATACGCGGGAAATCCGGATTTCGATTAGGGAACCCCACATAATTGAATTAATTGAATTAATTGAATTCGAAAAACCTCTTTCGCTAATTCAATTAATTCAATTAATTCAATTAGTTGGATTAATTGAATTAATTGAATTCGAAAAAGCCTCTTTCGCTAATTCAATTATTTCAATTAATTCAATTATCTATTTCTTTTTTCAAAACAAAGATTTCCCCTCTATTGAATTAATTCAATTAATTCAATTAATTCAATTAATTGAATTAATTGAATTAATTGAATTCGAAAAGCCTCCTTCGCTAATTCAATTAATTCAATTAATTCAATTAATTGAATTAATTGAATTAATTGAATTAATTGAAATTGAATTAATTGAATTAATTCAATACGCGGGAAATCCGGATTTCGATTAGGGAACCCCACATAATTGAATTAATTGAATTAATTGAATTCGAAAAACCTCTTTCGCTAATTCAATTAATTCAATTAATTCAATTAATTCAATTAATTCAATTAATTGGATTAATTGAATTAATTGAATTCGAAAAAGCTTCTTTCGCTAATTCAATTAATTCAATTAATTCAATTAATTCAATTAATTCAATTATCTATTTCTTTTTTCAAAACAAAGATTTTCCCCTCTATTGAATTAATTCAATTAATTCAATTAATTCAATTAATTCAATTAATTGAATTAATTCAATTATTCAATGAATTGAATTAATTCATTAATTCAAGTAATCTCATTAATTCAATTATTCAATTAATTCAATTAATTCCATTAATTCAATTAATTCAATTAATTGAATTCTTGAATTAATTGAATCGAAAGCCTCCTTCGCTATTGAATTAATTCAATTAATTGAATTAATTGAATTAAATTAATTGAATTAATTGAATTAATTGAATTAATTCAATACGCGGGAAATCCGGATTTCGATTAGAGAACCCCACATAATTGAATTAATTGAATTAATTGAATTCGAAAAACCTCTTTCGCTAATTCAATTAATTCAATTAATTCAATTAATTGGATTAATTGAATTAATTGAATTCGAAAAGCCTCTTTCGCTAATTCAATTAATTCAATTAATTCAATTATCTGAATTTTTTCAAAACAAAGATTAATTGAATTTGAATTAATTCAATTAATTCAATTAATTCAATTAATTCAATTAATTCAATTAATTCAATTAATTCAATTAATTCAATTAATTCAATTAATTCAATTAATTGAATTAATTGAATTAATTCAATTCGAAAAGCCTCCTTCGCTAATTCAATTAATTCAATTAATTCAATTAATTGAATTAATTGAATTAATTGAATTAATTGAATTAATTGAGTTAATTGAATTAATTCAATACGCGGGAAATCCGGATTTCGATTAGGGAACCCCACATAATTGAATTAATTGAATTAATTGAATTCGAAAAACCTCTTTCGCTAATTCAATTAATTCAATTAATTCAATTAATTGGATTAATTGAATTAATTGAATTAATTAGATTAATTAAATTAATTAAAGGGTCCATAATCTGAGTTATCATGATTATGATAACTTTAGGTTCCCAAACTTGAGTTATCATGATTATGATAACCTTAGGTTCCCAAACCTGAGTCATCATAATTATGATAACTTTAAGGTCCCCAGTCTGAGTTATCATGATTATGATAACCTTAGGTTCCCAAGCCTGAGTTATCATAATTATGATAACTTTAGGTTCCCAAACCTGAGTTATCATGATTATGATAACCTTAGGTTCCCAAACCTGAGTTATCATAATTATGATAACTTTAGGTTCCCAAACCTGAGTTATCATAATTATGATAACTTTAGAGTCACCAACTGGAGTTATCATAATTATGATAACTCCTTAGGGTCCCACCCCTGAGTTATCATAATCATGATAACTTTTAATTCGCAGCTTCACCTTAAGAGAGAGGTGCGCGAATAGGGGGGTGTAATATCAAGCGATTGTGTGCTACAATATGGAGTAGGGATCAGGGCTTGCGATTTGACTCTTTGGAGCAAAAATTAAACCCAAAAACTTAGGGACCAGGGCTTGCGATTTGACTCTTTGGAGCAAAAAATGAACCCAAAACCTTAGGGGCCAGGGCTTGCGATTTGACTCTTTTGAGCAAAACATGAACCCAAAATCTCAGGGACCAGGGCTTGCGATTTGACATTTTGGAGCAAAAACTGGTCCCAAAATCTTAGGGACCAGGGCTTGCGATGCTACTCTTTGGAGCAAAAAATGCGGCCAAAATCTTAAGGACCAGGGCTTGCGATTTGACTCTTTGGAGCAAAAACTGGGCCCCAAATCTTAGGGACCAGGGCTTGCGATTTGACTCTTTGGAGCAAAAATTAAACCCAAAATCTTAGGGACCAGGGCTTGCGATGCTACTCTTTGGAGCAAAAAATGCGCCCAAAATCTTAAGGACCAGGGCTTGCGATTTGATTCTTTGTAGCAAAAACTGAGCCCCAAATCTTAGGGACCAGGGCTTGCGATTTGACTCTTTGGAGCAAAAATCAAACCCAAAATCTTAGGGACCAGGGCTTGCGATTTGACTCTTTTGAGCAGAACATGAACCCAAACTCTCAGGGATTGCGATTTGACATTTTGGAGCAAAAACTGGGCCCAAAATCTTAGGGACCAGGGCTTGCGATGCTACTCTTTGGAGCAAAAAAAGCGCCCAAAATCTTAAGGACCAGGGCTTGCGATTTGACTCTTTGGAGCAAAAACTGGGCCCCAAATCTTAGGGACCAGGGCTTGCGATTTGACTCTTTGGAGCAAAAATTAAACCCAAAATCTTAGGGACCAGGGCTTGCGATGCTACTCTTTGGAGCAAAAAATGCGCCCAAAATCTTAAGGACCAGGGCTTGCGATTTGATTCTTTGGAGCAAAAACTGAGCCCCAAATCTTAGAGACCAGGGCTTGCGATTTGACTCTTTGGAGCAAAAACTGAGCCCAAAATCTTAGGGACCAGGGCTTGCGATTTGACTCTTTGGAGCAAAAACTGGGCCCAAGATCTTAGGGACCAGGGCTTGCGATGTCACTCTTTGGAGCAAAAAATGAACCCAAAATCTTAGGGACCAGGGCTTGCGATTTGACCTTTTGGAGCAAAAACTGTGCCCAAAATCTTAGGGACCAGGGCTTGCGATTTGACTCTTTGGAGCAAAAAATGAACCCAAAAACTTAGGGACCAGGGCTTGCGATTTGACTCTTTGGAGCAAAAAATGAACCCAAAATCTTAGGGGCCAGGGCTTGCGATTTGACCTTTTGGAGCAAAAACTGGGCCCAAAATCTTATGGACCAGGGCTTGCGATGCTACTCTTTGGAGCAAAAAATGCGCCCAAAATCTTAAGGACCAGGGCTTGCGATTTGACTCTTTGGAGCAAAAACTGGTCCCCAAATCTTAGGGCCCAGTTTTTGCTCCAAAGAGTCAAATCGCAAGCCCTGGTCCCTAAGATTTGGGGTTTGGTTTTTGCTCCAAAGAGTCAAATCGCAAGCCCTGGTCCCTAATATTTGGGGCACAGTTTTTGCTCCAAAGAGTCAAATCGCAAGCCCTGGTCCTTAAGATTTTGGGCGCATTTTTTGCTCCAAAGAGTAGCATCGCAAGATCTTGGGCCCAGTTTTTGCTCCAAAAGGTCAAATCGCAAGCACTGGTCCCTGAGAGTTTGGGTTCATGTTTTGCTCAAAAGAGTTAAATCGCAAGCCCTGGTCCCTAAGATTTTGGGTTTAATTTTTGCTCCAAAGAGTCAAATCGCAAGCCCTGGTCCCTAAGATTTGGGGCTCAGTTTTTGCTCCAAACAGTCAAATCGCAAGCCCTGGTCCTTAAGATTTTGGGCGCAGTTTTTGCTCCAAAGAGTAGCGTCGCAAGCCCTGGTCCCTAAGATTTTGGGCGCATTTTTGGCTCCAAAGAGTAGCATCGCAAAATTTTGGGCCCAGTTTTTGCTCCAAAAGGTCAAATCGCAAGCACTGGTCCCTGAGAGTTTGGGTTCATGTTTTGCTCAAAAGAGTTAAATCGCAAGCCCTGGTCCCTAAGATTTTGGGTGTAATTTTTGCTCCACAGAGTCAAATCGCAAGCCCTGGTCCCTAAGATTTGGGGCTCAGTTTTTGCTCCAAAGAGTCAAATCGC